TCCTCAAGTTCTCCACCCGTGCAGAGTAAATTGCTCCCAAGTACAGCGAAAAGGGACATCAGTCACCTTTGATGCTCTTGCATTGTGCCAGAGATAATGCAGCATGCGAAACCCCAGACATTTTTTCTGGAGGTTTCAAGATCTCGTTGTGTTTTTGGTACAGGTGTAGTTTCGTCCAGAGACTATGTGACTCCGCTGACGACAAGCTTGCTTCTGTGGCTGTTATGGCTGCTAAATGGAGAGGGAATGGACTAGGGTGCACACGCCTTCCGGGTCGGATCTTCCAGGACCCCGACTGGCGTGGGGTCTGTGGGTTTCCTGCTCGTGTAAGCCGACGACAACCCGAGGGCAATTTATTCAGCCGACAACCCGACGCCCGGGATACTCAGAATCAGACGTTCTTCAATGATGGAAGACTCATTCGCAGTGCTGCTCATATTCACACACTCGGGAAGCGTTGCTGAGACCCAACAATACCTGCGGAAATCGACCTCTGTTTACTGGGGTTGGCGATTTGGTCTGAGGCAGCTCTTTGCGCAACACTGGGGGTTTCCAATCATTCTAGTTCGAGCGTGGCAAGGCAGTTGGTCAACGCCAGATGTACATGCACCTAGACAAGGCTGGGATGTACAGTAGCTGGATGATGGTTCTTGCGTCAGCTTCGGCACAATCATGTGTTGACGACCGTTCTTTTCTGCAAGCGGGCGAGGTATAGCGAGAATGATCGCAACCAGCCCTAAACCCCAAACCGCGCAGGGCCGAAATTGAAGCTCCAGAGGAGGCTAGCATGCTCAAACCTCACGCCGTGCAACTCCCTATGAGCGCCGAACAGATGCCAAGACTTCCCAGTGACAGCCAGGTGGAGAGGCCTCTGAAGTCGGCGCTGAAGAAGGCCCCCAATGCAATCGGGTGCTGCACGTAGCACACACTGCAAGTCTAAGTCTAAGTCTGTATGGACTTCAGACCTGGACCAGTGGGCTGTTTGCGTAGATAGTTGGCAGCATGGCATCATAATCGCCAAACTCGTAACACTCGTGAGGAGAGCATGCGAGCCCTTTTGCCATGCAGACAATCGAAGTGGTCGTAGTCGTAGTTGTAGCCGTACGTAGTTGTAGTGGTGGCGGTAGCCGTAGTTCAAGACTGCCGCTTTCAAGTTCATGGCTGTATTGATCGTTCTCGGCAGGAGGCCTCGCAAAGAACGGAGACAAATCAGCATGCTCCAGATTTATGCTTGTCGAGTTGTCCATGTGTTAAACGAAGCGGAGTCAAAAGGCATTCTTTGTCCAGCATAGGGAGAAAGGCACCATTCTCCAAGGATTGTCAATGTGTCATAACATGATGCTGGGCCAACGCCGTCAGCATCCGAGCCTCCAGCGCACAGGCGAGCGACACCCAAAGACCTCCCCAGGCCGCGTGCCACCGAGGCTCCCATCCGAGCCCGGCCCGTGCCGCCCATCCGATGTTGCCAGACACGTGCCACCGACACGTGCCCACGCCTGCCCGCGTCCGACCCAAGTGGCGCACGCTACTTGGGAACTGGGCGCAGTGTCGGAGCGACTGGGAGCTGGAACTCGGTGCCGAATAGCCTCTCGTGTGTCACAGAGCCCGCTTTTCAATCCATGGCGCAGGGGCTAACTTTTGGGCACCAGCCCTTCAACAAGTGCGAAGAAAATCATCACGAAGAAGATGCTGACATTGGTTGCATGCGGCTCCCAGACGCGTCTGGCCCCGGCCCCAAGCTACGGCACCAGTTCCCACCCATGCTCCCTTTCGAGGAGAAGACCCCAACGGTTCCTGTTTGGGGTTCCTTTTTGGGGAAATACAAGTGGGACAAGTGAGTTGCCATTTGTGAATTTCCAGGAACAAGAGCGGCGCGAGCAATACTTGGCAACGGTGATACTAGGAACTAGTACCAACAGGCATCGATTTTATGGTGTGCAGCCGCCAAACTCCGAAACATCTTGTTCTGCTGATTCGATGTCATGGCTCTCGCCCTGCTGCAGGCAGTGTTGGCGGTGGCGGCTGCTTCCAAGGCCCAATAGCGTCGCCTCAATCCGGTTCATGAGTTACACCTGGTTTTTGCCTATCCTCAATTTAGCCATTGAGCAGTGTTGATTTTGGGTTGTGGATGTTATGCGTATCGTGACTACCGGTTCCTGAAAACCAAACAATTCCTATTGAGGTTTCTTGGAGCATGTTTGTGGTATTTTAAAACCGACGGACACGGTGTGAGGGATTGGAGTTACGCTTCTGCGCTTGGGTTTCAGCGTGCACAGATGTGCAAAGGATCAGGCTTTGCGCGGATGTGGCCTGTTGTGTAAAACTATATATACTTGCTGCCGTGATCACACTTTGCAGTTGATGTTGCTGCTCTTGAGGAGTTACATTGCGGGGATGAGAGACCCGGTAACCGTGGTCACGACGATTTAGTATCACTAGCAAAGCGTGAAGCTGCAAAGACAAGCTACAGCCCAAAGTGACGCCCTTGCGATGCTGATTTTTGGCCCTGTTCAGTCCCTGAAAATCTTTCCTGCGTGTTTATTATCAATGTCTAATTTATAGGCGAGGATGATCGGTCCTCACACACGAGGTTGATGTCGCGAACAATAGTCCCACATGAACACCAAACAGATACCAAGAACGACTGGTGCATGGTTGCACCGAGGTCGCAAAGATGACCTCGTCGAAGGAGGCCCGCACGGTAATCGGGTACTGAAGAATCATGCTGCATTCGTGGGCAGTCTAGGCATGTTTTCGGACCTCTGACCTGGACAAACAACGCCAGGTTGGCAAGGTGCGCAAATAGTTGTCGGCATATCGTCGCCGTCATCACGTCATCACCATGATTCATGATCATGAGCATGGTCATTACGATCATCATCGCGATTAACCATCAACCATCATCAGTCATCATCTTTCGTCACCAATCACCAATCATCAATCATGCTTCATCAGTCATCAGTCATCAACCATCAGCCATCAATCAGCATCACCGTCATCATTCAAACTTGATCAGCAGTCAGCAACCGTTAGCCACCAAACACCAATCAACTCATTCAATCAATGAATATTAAGCAAGCACACAAGCAGGCAAGCAGGCAGAGACAGGCAGAGGCAGGCAGAGGAAGGCAGAGAACCAGGCAGCAGGCAGGGCAGGCAGGGCAGGCAGGGCAGGCAGGGCAGGCAGGGCAGGCAGGGCAGGCAAGCAGCCAGGCAGGCAAGCAGTGAAGCAGCGAAGCAATGAAGCAATGAATCAATGGATCAACGGATGATGAGCCTATCAACGGATACACGCCATCATTTTGATTATCGCCAACCTCCGAGACGCCCGTTTCGATGTCGCATTCAGAAACCCAGTCTTTTGCGTCTCAAGCAGCCCCGACGGTGACCTTTGCTTCCACGGACCGAGCAATTGCCGACAAGTCCGGTCCATGGAAATGGTTAGAGGTTTTCGATTAGCAGCCAACCCGCCGAATAGCCTTGATTTCGAGAGGGCACTTGCGGGGTCTTTAGCGCCGAACTACCTTGCTTCTTGAGGTTTCTTGGGGCATTTTGCCGTATGTTGCCTGGATCCTTCGGTGTGGGGGTTTGGATTTGATCTTCTGCGTTTGGGTTTCAGAGTGCACAGATGTGCAATGGACCAGGCTTTGCGATTATGCGGTCTGTTGTGTAAAACTGTATACTTGCTGCTGTGATCACAGTTTGCAGTTGATGTTGCTGCACTTGAGGAGTTACGTTCGGAGATGAGAGACCCGAGAACCCCGGTCGCGATGGTTCAATAGCTGATGTCGTTGGTCCTGCTCAGTCCCTGAACGTCGAGGTCTTGCAGCTCAAACTCTCTCCTGCGTAATTGTTTACAACATCTAACTTAGTGGTCAGTCTGGACAAGAGGAATATGATGTCTGCTTGCTCTATTTCGAAAATTGTAGCTCCTTTCCTTCAGGTATGAGCCGTGGCCGTTTATAGTAGCAATGTTCATCTTTCAATGGTAGGGTATGGAGGTTTCGTGTTGCGTGACGGGGCACTACCACTCTCTTCGCATGCTACTCAGGTGCGGTCCAACTCACATGAACGCCTCAGCGTCCCTCATTTGGAACAACGATTAAAACATGGTGAGACGATCACGAAGGGTTTCTTCCCATCCCCAAGCCGCGGACAGCTGTGCTGAACGTGCGGGCTTGTTTTCGGAAAACAGATGGTCTCCACATTGACATGCAAAAATCGGGCATGGTCCGGACTATCCTACGCTTACACGTCTTTCATAACATGAAGCCTACACCTGACTTCCGCTTGCACGATGTGCGACCTCCTTGTAGGACCGTGGTGGTGGAGGATCCGCATCCTTGAACGGCCAATCCGGCAAGGTCAAGGTCGCGAAATGGGAGTTGCCTGTCTTTCTTTCCGACGTTCGATTCACTCTCGTGCTATCTGGATCAGTACAATCCACGCCACGGTACGAACATCGCCAGAACCGATCTCAGTATCTTCGGCTGTGTGTTTGACTTTTCATAACAGCCACCCTTCTGCGCCTAAGTACACCAGCGGCCTTGGTCTTTTGAGCGCATGGGGCCCGGCAGTACAATCGTTGTATGCAACCACAAATGGTGCTGTTTGTTCGATGGCTGCCACTCATATTTCCTCCCGTATTTGTATCCACTACTATCAGTGTTTCTCACCCCGCTGCTTCTTCTCGCTGTTTCCATTTACAGGCAGTACTGGCTTTGGTTGATGGCTACTGGGTTCATGACTAGCATGTACCTCGACCCTGTGGCAGGGCCGCAGTGTTCATTTTGCTGTGGATGATCCACAAGTTCAGAGCGACAAGGCCACCGGAAGTCTAAACCCTTAAGCCGACTTAAGTCAAATCCCGAAGCCTTAGGCTGAAGCACTGAAAGGTCGATAAAGAGAAGAAGCCAGAGACGCCGCCTCAGCAGCGAAAAGAAGAGCAGAAAGTTCCTGACGATTTGACTGTATCCAATGCAAGTTCGAAGGAGGACATCATGGCAAAGACAATGTTCGATATGGTCAGCACAGTTACATTGGAGAACCCCGGGGTGTCCTACCGGGTCTTGTTCGCTACAGAACGACAAGCACAGATTATTGGGAACAACCCTGACACTCTTGAGAAGTTGGCTGAGCAGTTTCGCATCGAGGAAGGTGCACAGCCCAAGGTAGTAATCAACTTGCTTACGTCCCTGGGTACCTCACAGCTTCGAGAAAAGCATAAAAAAGATCCTAATGAAGATGTGGAGCACCGGTTGGACATGTTCATGCGGCATGTTTTGCTGCCCATTGCCGAGCAGACGAACGCTCTGGTCTTATGTGATGCGATTGCGGACCGATGTTTGCTTGCAGATTCCTTCGTTCGGATGTGTCGGGTCAGACACGCTGCTTGGAAAAAGAAGATGCCCTTTACGCTGCTGGGTTTCACAACGATGAATGAACTGGATAAAAGGTCCAAAGGTCGCTTCTGGAGAGAGCTGATGGAGAAATGTAAAGGATCTTGGGAGGAAGAATGGACGAGGTACAACAAGAATCGCACAAAGGACCTGGACAAGAGCATCCACACCGGGACCGTTGGAGTCGGGGATATCCAGCCTCTCGTGTCCAACTTGCCTCTGTGGCTGTTAATTGATCAAGCATTCTGCCAGTTCTTGATTGTTGAAATAGTATATAAGCACCCGTTATTGTCGTGGATGATGCCTGATTAACCTCGTCCAAACTCTGCAGTGCATGTTGCATAGCAAGTCTGTTTTTTCGTTGTGTTGCCGTTTCTGTCCATGGTCGGGTGGTCAAGTGGCTTTCTCATGACGATTGATGATGCATTTGCTTGACATTTTGGTTGCTCTTGGCTTGTTGGTCAATAGGCCCCCAGTACAAGCCGCTAATGCAGAAGCACAGCAGCCCTGATACCATTTGTCCTCGTCTTTGCTCTTGTTGTTCCCTGCATAGAAGGTCGTTTGAGACTAACTTCAGGATCATCGCTGGAGGCTTCGAGAGCAGCAGCAACAGTCGCGCTGCGGCCGCGACCTTGAAGACGGCCTTGGTCTCACATCTCGGCGCGACCATACCATCTGTAGCTTTCAAGACAGGCATGTCCGATCTTTCGTATCTGAAACAAACCACTGAATCTGGTCTGGAGACTGCGGTGAATGCCATCCAGCAACAGACGTCGGTTGTTTTTTTGGATCTGTTCCACAGAAACAAGCTGCAGCTCGAGGACCTGCAAATACACAGACAGGATTTCGCAAATGCCGGTGAGGACCGTGATGATGCGTATTTGAGGAGAGTTGAAGCCGGGATGCTCAAGCGCCACACAACTCAGGAGAATGCCAAGAAAACCAGCTTCTTCGATGCATGTGCGATTGCAAAGCTTCATTCGAGGTGCCACGCAGTTGCGATGTGTTTAAGTTTGATTTTGTTGATATCGCGATCGCGCTTCTCAGCAGGCGGTCTAGCGTATGTCACAGATACTGTCCTTTTACGAGGAGAGGGTTTAACTCGCATCGCGTTGCGCAAATACACATCTTTCGGCGTCCGCGTTGCAGTTGAGCATTTCGGAGCCCGGCCTGGCATGCATCGTAGGATCTCGAACCGCCAGCAGAAATCTGGCCACCAGGTTGATTTGCGCCAGGGAATAGCTGCGTGTGTCTTCGGATGCACTCTTCGCATGTCTGCTGCGGGGGAAGGGCACGTTATGCGTGGAGGGGTTCGCAGCATTTCGCAGCAGACACGACCACCAGAGTAAATGCGCTGATTCGAGACATTGCGAAACGTCCATGACCTTCGAATGCAGCTCCGCAGCAAGAGAAGGCGAAACAGGTTGTGCCGGGATGTCCAATTGAGCCTTCGTCGTGATAAGATTTGAAAATCAGCAGCGTCCCGCTCAGCTCTCCACATGAGGGGAAGTTGAAAAGCCCATGCAGCTAGATCTTACTTGTATTTTATCTGGCACGCCCAACGGAGAGCACCACATGTGTGGGTGCCACTACATGGAATATTCGCTCTGCAAGGTTAGCACCGCATCGTTCAGCTTCTCATTTGGCGAAACTCGGCTGGCTTTTCTATACAAGTCCATCGCGTGATCGGCCTGATCGAGACGAAAAGAGTGGTTTCGTCATGGTGAACAGCATGGGCTCTTGTGTCGTCGTCCTTCAATGCCGGTTGGCAAGGTAGTGATGCATGTAAGGACAGCATGAGAGGAGTGCGAGGGGAGAATGATAGTTTTCGATTCGTGTGCCGCTTGGGGAGGGTCCTGGGAAGGACCGGTCGAAGACCGACTTGAGAGACTACCGATCTGTTTCATGAGACGCCTGACGCTGCCAACGCCCCAGCAGGTACAAGAAACTCATCGGAGAGTCCAAAAAGCCGCAACGGAAATATGCACTCTGGCAGGCAATGTGCTTGGAGGAGACATGAAGACATGGGTGCTTGACTGCTTCAGCATGTCTTGTGTTTGTCCTTGGAAATTGACGACTTTGCCTGCAGGAGCGCAACCGCGAAACGCGAGATATAGATGGAGTCCGGCAAGCTCGTTCCGTGTTGTACAAAGTGTTCCAAGAGCAGACAAAAGAGATGGGAGTTGCTGCTTGCCTGCATTGTTACTTCGGCAGTCGTTCATGAGCATATACATGTTGCTTGAATTCTCCAGTCTGCTGTATGCTACTTGACATGTGAATCCTGATGACGGAAGCCATCCCGTGGCCGTGGTGGTCGACTGGGCTTGGTAGTGGCGGTGTTGGTGTGGGGGGGGCTTGGCGTTGATGATGCCTCCGTTCGTCTGTTCCCAAATGCGGCGCCCATCCCACAATGACCTCGCAAGGTTGCCGCCTTCTTAGCGTGTTTTTTGTCCCCTTTCTGGGCTCGGGTGGCAGCCTGTCGGCATAGGTCGTCCAGCAGAGGGTCGTTCGGAGGGGCTTTTCGTGGGCGAGGGTGGTTGGGTCAGCTGTAGGTTTGGGGCGGAGGATGTTCAGAACGGGTGGCTCATTGAAGAGCTGGCCGTGGTCTGCGTTGTGGGCTCCCTGAGTCGGTGCTGGGGGCTCTCTTGGCTTGGGCGTGGCCTTGCGGCTGTCACTGACGTTAACTAAAGCTGGGGGTACACCCTCTGACCCGTTCCCCTCATAAGCTTCCGGACGCTTGGTTCCAGGTGCGCCGTACCCACGGGGGAAGGACATGGCGCTGGCTGTTGGGGTAGTGTTGGAAGGCGGCCCAGTGGCTTCAGGTGGAGGGGACGCGTCCCCTGTCGGCTGCTGCCGTAGCGGTTGGGGGACAGCGTACTCGGTGTGCGTCATGTGGTCCCGCGCTAGCGTCCAAGGAGCTGCGCCAAGAATGGGTCAGGAACTTAGGGTGTGATGGGCGTTGCTGTCTGGAGCTGGCGGAGTGGATGGTTGTCCGACGCCGATGGTTGGGCGGGCCTGGGCGGCTCGTGCCAAGGGTCCGTGTCTGGATCGTATCTTGTGAGAGGGTATCGGTGCCGTTCCCAGGCACGAAGGTTTCGTCCGCACCCCATCGAAGCAGCCCAGAGTGATGGTCTCCGATCTGAGTCTGCAAGGATTTCTTCAGCTTGGCAGGTGGTGCTCCCTGTCTCTGGCTGTGCTGGGCAAGGTGGCCCAACCACGTCGGAGTCCTGAAACAAACGGGGAACAAGCAACCAAGAGACTTTGCATAAACAGGAGAGAACGACAGGTGTTTCTTGTTTGGCCAGAAAGAGTTAAAAAGACGGAGACCGAGTCGGGGCTATCGTTCTAAAAAAAGCTCTGCATCTTGCAGCTGGTAAGAGGTCTTTGCAGCTGGCTGGCAAAATTCCATCATCAAGCCGGCTGCCGTTTTGAAGGACGATGAAGACCACGGAGCCGAGGCATTGGAGTGAATGCTGTAGAGGTAGCATGGTTCATGCAATTGGTGCAAAATCTGGGTGCAGGACTTTGCGAGGCAGGAGGTTGGGACGGTTGTTAAGAACAGAACTGTCATTCCACTGCTGAACGTACACTCGCTACCCCGAAAAGGGAAGCGAGTTATCGCAAGGCATCGAAGCACATCCTGGTCAATGCTTTCGGTGTTAGACTATGACTAGGGGTGAGGCCTAAGTTGCGGTAGGAATACTGTTGAGAAGATTCTAGCTTTCTAGCTGTTGCAGATGTTGTATGGTTCACGCGAGTGAAAGTTCGCATCTCCACCCACGCTGGTTTAGAACTCACGTGATTTGACGACCTGACCTAACGATGACTCGCCAGATGCGTAGGTTTTGTTGTTTGCATTTAGAGGTCTGAAGCAGGGGAGTCTTGGAAGACAAGCTTCAGGCTTTGATTCGGTATTCCGGTTCAACCCCACTGAACTAACCCTAGCCCTAGCCAATACGCACTAAAGCTCGGAGGCAGAGACTGATGGAGCATCAGACGATAAACTCCTGAAGGATGAACATGAAGAATCGACGACGTATGCTTTCGTCGCGCGATCTACGGAACTTGTGACTTCAGATTTCTTCACATCGCTCAACATTTGGCGATGTCAAAGCACTCTGGAGAGGAACATCTACGGAATCCTGACGAGGTGCGCACAGAATGCTTTGTATGCAGGTCACAATAGTCCGTGGCATGGTCCCTGGTGTCCCTGTTTGAGGAGTAGATTGGTTTCGCCCCAAACCCTGTTCGACCACGACTACTGTCCAGCTTGCCTTTTAAAGTGGGAGTTTCCGAAAATTAAGGCTCATAAAAGGGATCCTACTGTTTAGGGCACTATATTGGGGTCCCTATTTCCGGAAACGCCCAAGTCGCCCTGACAGGAGCAGACTGCCGCCTCAACACAATCTCGAGGCGCTCCGGCTGATGCGTGATGCCTGGACCGAGTATGACGTGGCGAAACACTTGGCAACGTACTATAGTTTTCTGAGCCGGCTGTGGTATTTCAGCCAGATTCTGTGCGGGCTGTTTACTATCATGGCCAGTGTTACAGGGCGAACTTTGGAGGTGGAGGAGTTCTACGTTTCGTTGTTAAACTTTAGCCTATCTTTGTTCTGCACCACCCTCATCTCCCTCCATGCCTTTGCCAATCCCACAACCCGTTGGCACAAATTGCGTTGTGCAGCAGCGGAACTGGAGAGTTTGATATGGCTTTTTCGGACCAAGTGCAGGCTTTTCGAGTTGGATGACATAGACTCCGTATCCAACTCAGTCACCCTGTTTCGGGAGCAGCTGAACGAATGGCGTAAAAACGTCGTTCGAGGAACGGACTTGCATCGATCCGATTTCCAAAAGAAGTGGAAACATGAAAAGTTAACAAGGGGACAGCACGCAAAGAGCGACATATACTGCGACAAGGACTGCCAGTTTCAGAAGCTACCAGATGAGGACATGGATGAGGACGATGAAGGCATAGTTAGAACCACAAAGCAAGGAGCAGATGGGGACCTCCATGACCAGTCTTCGCATTCTCCGAATTCTTCGCCAGTCGCTGCGAAGACGACAAGTCGTTGTTGCAGTGGTTTTGTGAAGCGTTTGTGTTGCGGCCGCAAGTTCAAGCCCGCAGGGCCCTCAACCCAAGAGGTCAAGCCCGCAGGGGCCTCACCCAAAGAGGATGTTGAAGAATGGGACCCCAAGACCGAGCATGAACAGGGTGACAAGAGCCAAGCCAGTGATGCGGAGGCACCGTCGACAAAGAAACAGGTAATGGAAGCTAAGTTGGAGGCTTGGCAGGATGACCACCACAGCCCGGCCAATGCTGACGAATATATCCGGTGGCGTTTGCAGGCAATGAAGCGGTTTTACGAGAAGCGTCTTCCTGCATATGCTCGGTATCATCGGTTTTTCTTCGCCATGACGCTGCTTGGATCGATGGGCTGCTCCGTGTTTGCCTACATCGCGTTTAACTCTTGGGTTGTAGTTGCGGCTTCATTGAGCACTGCGGCATCTTCCTGGATGGAGTTCTCCAACGTTTTGCAGAACATTCAGCGCTACTCCGACACCATACAGGACTTTGTCATAGTTGGGTAACATTTTACATGTTTATGGGTACTTAAACTCAATAAGGAGCTGAATGAACATTTAACGTTTTAATCCTATCCCAACCATGAACTAGAGGAGTTGAAGAAGCTGGAGGCTTGGTGGGAGAGCCTTCCGCCCATGGAGAAGGCTTCCAAAGAAAATCTAAACCTTTTGGTCTGCATCTTTCAGAGATGGAAGCTTTTCCTAGTAGTCGAGTAGGTAACCTTTAACCTTTTTGGGTAGTATAATCCCTAGTTTCATAGTGTTGTCCATCTTTGAAGGTATAGCCTCGTAGCTCACAAACCAAGAGCCACGATCGATTCAGTCTAGGTGCCCTGAACCCTGATGACCTGAACCAAAAAGGCCCAAAGCTCCATAGTCAGATGTACGCAGTATATTACAGTATATATAATGTATTATACATATATATACACACATATACACGCAATTACTTATGATCCTGAAAAGTGCGTGTGTAAGGTACATCCGAAGACTTAATCTGCTCCGAGTGCCGGTCCTGGGCACAGTCCATGCAGAAGACGGCGCAGGAACTGATCAACCGAAAGATGGCACAGAGCAAGCACGAATGAGACTTCCGCAGTTTTGGGATCGAATTTCTGAATTCGGCGTCTCTGTAATTGAGAGTTTGCGAAGATCTCTTGGCTGTTCTGTTCATCCAGCAGCTTCGGGAATGAAGGCAAGGGCTTCGGGTTCTGGTGGAGTGCTCCACGAAGCTTGGTCTTGGGGTTGAAGGGGTGTTGGACGAGAGTCTAGGGTGGGGTGTTTACTGTTTCTTGCAAAAGGTTGTGAAGTTCTGAACCTAGACAAGATTTGTGCGCATTTAGTTTTGTTGTGCTCGAAGGCTGCGCAGGCTCCTCAAAGGATTCGCGTTCCCGCAGCCTGCGTAGTGTTGTCTTCCAAATCCGTCTGGAAGCACGCAGCAGTTCGCATCTGGCGGAACTGCCACTACATTAGTTTGGAATGGGGTTTGGAAGTGGTGTTAATGCCATCTGGGCCTGGCACGGCCAATTCGAAGAAATTTCAGGCAGGTGCTGTTGCACGAGTCCTCGGTAAAGCTTTGCGTTGTTCAGGTGCTGCTAGGGTCTTCGAAGCGTGAAGGGCTCTGATTTGCCATCCCAGCCTCTTAGTCGGGATGCAGGCCTGCAGTTGATTTCACAGCTAAGCTTGTTCCAGACAAGATATATAGTAAGTTTGTTCCACACACGATCCTTGCAGCAGTCAATGTCGGGCCTTGTAACGTGCAAGGTTAAACCTTAAATCCGACAAACTCTGAGGCACCTGTCCGATCCCAAGCCCGTTGCAAATGCAATGTGGCTTAGCTCCGGCTTTTCCTGTCCGTGCAGGCAGCCTCTTTGCCGCAAACTGGGCCTCCCCCAGACGACGGCCGTTTAGGGTTTGGGACGTCTGTTCGTAGAGGCACCATATCCCAAGATACGCAGGAATCTTCTTCAACATCCGAGAGTCTTTTTTCCAGTGAGGAGTCTTCATGTAATCGAGGGATCTGGAGCCTCTGGGTAGGGATGGTCTCCATTTACAACTCTGACGTTGCACCTCTCCAGCCGAAGGCTGCGCAGGCTCCTCGAAGGAACCGCGTTCCCGCAGCCTGCTTAGTGTTGTCTTCCAAATCCGTCTGGAAGCATGCAGCAGTTCGCATCTGGCGGAACTGCGTTAATGCCATCTAGGCCTGGCACGGCCAATTCGAAGAAATTTCAGGCAGGTGCTGTTGCACGAGTCCTCGGTAAAGCTTTGCGTTGTTCAGGTTCTGCTAGGGTTTTCGAAGTGTGATGAAGGGCTGATTTGGGCGATTTCAGTTCGATTTGTCTGCAGTTGATTTCACAGCTAAGCTTGTTCCAGACAAGATATATAGTAAGTTTGTTCCACACACGATCCTTGCAGCAGTCAATGTCGGGCCTTGTAACGTGCAAGGTTAAACCTTAAATCCGACAAACTCTGAGGCACCTGTCCGATCCCAAGCCCGTTGCAAATGCAATGTGGCTTAGCTCCGGCTTTTCCTGTCCGTGCAGGCAGCCTCTTTGCCGCAAACTGGGCCTCCCCCAGACGACGGCCGTTTAGGGTTTGGGACGTCTGTTCGTAGAGGCACCATATCCCAAGATACGCAGGAATCTTCTTCAACATCCGAGAGTCTTTTTTCCAGTGAGGAGTCTTCATGTAATCGAGGGATCTGGAGCCTCTGGGTAGGGATGGTCTCCATTTACAACTCTGACGTTGCACCTCTCCAGCCGAAGGCTGCGCAGGCTCCTCGAAGGAACCGCGTTCCCGCAGCCTGCTTAGTGTTGTCTTCCAAATCCGTCTGGAAGCATGCAGCAGTTCGCATCTGGCGGAACTGCGTTAATGCCATCTAGGCCTGGCACGGCCAATTCGAAGAAATTTCAGGCAGGTGCTGTTGCACGAGTCCTCGGTAAAGCTTTGCGTTGTTCAGGTTCTGCTAGGGTTTTCGAAGTGTGATGAAGGGCTGATTTGGGCGATTTCAGTTCGATTTGTCTGCAGTTGATTTCACAGCTAACCTTGTTCCAGACAAGATATATAGTAAGTTTGTTCCACACACGATCCTTGCAGCAGTCAATGTCGGGCCTTGTAACGTGCAAGGTTAAACCTTAAATCCGACAAACTCTGAGGCACCTGTCCGATCCCAAGCCCGTTGCAAATGCAATGTGGCTTAGCTCCGGCTTTTCCTGTCCGTGCAGGCAGCCTCTTTGCCGCAAACTGGGCCTCCCCCAGACGACGGCCGTTTAGGGTTTGGGACGTCTGTTCGTAGAGGCACCATATCCCAAGATACGCAGGAATCTTCTTCAACATCCGAGAGTCTTTTTTCCAGTGAGGAGTCTTCATGTAATCGAGGGATCTGGAGCCTCTGGGTAGGGATGGTCTCCATTTAAAACTCTGACGTTGCACCTGCATCAGCAAAGGGCCGGTGTTCTCGGTGCCGTGATCTAATCGGGGAAGAAGTACTCGTAGCCGAGCAGGGACAAGTCGTCGTGGCGGCAATGTTTACTATTTGCTTACCGAATCTGAGACAACAACCACTCGTGCATGGTTCCCGCGACGTTCGGCTTCAAGGCATGTGTCAGCGGTTGCATGTCCATGCACGACGCCATGAAGTTCATGTGCACGTGCGTTTAGATGCCTCCGTGGCCCAGATGCCGGAGCCTTACCTTCGCACTGCACGGGACTCGCCCAAGACGACTAGACTGCCGCCACGTACGCTCGCCCATGCGGCAAGTCGATTTTAGGGCTTTTCATCAGTTTTCTCCAGTTCCGCTGGATCCGAGGCCAGTCCAAGGCAGTGCGGAGGCCAGGAACCACGGGCCGACCGAGCACGTCGTAGACACTGCATGACAAGACGAGTAGTGAGGATGATGATGATGATGATGGATGGTGATGATGGTGATGGTCGAGATGCTCGTGATGATGATGATGATGATGATGGTACTGCTGGCAATATTTGAGGGCGGAGGTCGGAAATGTTGCTAGAGGTGGCCGTGACTCCTTTGAATCGTCTGCGGGCGCTGCCACGGACGAATGCCCGGAAGAACAGCTTGAAATCCAGAGGAGCGTTCCTTTGTTTGGTTCATTCTCTGGCTCTCTCCCCCTGTCTCTCCTACTGTCGGTGCTCCGGACTTGCGGATCCCTGCAACACTCCTGCAACCACCTGCACGCGGAGTGCAGAACGATGCACAAGTACAACTGTCCGTTGAACTGCACCCTCGTGAAACCGAAAGCCCAAACCCTACCCCTCCAAAAGCTCTGCAGAGCCAGGTGTGCAAAGGAAGCTCCGAAGCATTTCTACGACCCTGCTGCGATGGCGGCTTCGGTGAGACCAGCGGTTCGTGGTTGCCTCGGACTATCACCATCCACTTTCATTCATGATGACTGCGTCGTACTGCTTCCAGTACTTGCCTCACTCATCGTAGCTCTGAACCAGGGCCTGACAGTTTCGCAGGAAGTTTCTGTCTGAAACCATGCTTTGGCCCAAGCGTGCTCGAAGCTGACGAGCACAACCTGTTTTAAGCTTTTGACTGCCAATTTCACACCGGCTGCGAGGATGCGGCGTTCAACGCGGCAGAACCTCGCATTGGCCTTGATCTTCATGCTGGCGGTTCGAGATGTCTCTGCAGCAAGACATGGGTACAATACGGCTCAGATGGTCTCTTCGGCGGCCAAGGGTATGGAGCAGAATAGATTCTTTCACGAGTCTCTCGCTAGCATTGATGAGGGGGGATCGTTCTCACTTCACACGATGTGGGCGAAAGGGAAGGAGAACCGGCTTCTGGGTGGCCTCACATGGACAAATGCCACAATCACCTTCAGCAGTTACGGCCGTGGCGATACCGTGAGGGCAGGGAAGGGGAGGACAGGGAAGGGCGGGCACGGAAGGGGAGAGCGGCGGCAGACCGCCAAGTACCTGGAGGTTACTTTGATGGACAAGACGTATCGCATCATGCCAGATGCCGTCGTAATGACCAAGGAGCTAAAGACCATGGCCGTTGTCGGCATTTCAGGGTGGCAAGCCTTTGAGGGCGGCTCATGGGGACCCAGCAAATATGGCAGGGACGAGATCCTTTGGATCCGCACAGAACAGAATCCCATCATCGGTGTGACCACCAGCAGCACTCTGCCTTGGCGCTATGCCGGCTACCCTGTCTATCAAAAGGGTTCCGAGACGCCCTACTACTTCTACAAGGGTGTCCAGAGCACCATCGACATCGAAGAGGTAAACCTGGCATCGGATCAGACGCCTTCGGAAGTTCGTCTGGAGGTCCCGGGGCAAAGCACCGAGCCTCTGAAGGCTCCAGATCGTGAAGTCATGGTACTGTGGCTGGGTTCTTGTTAAGGGATTTTATCTAAGTGACCATAGTAGGGATCTAAGATAGTAAATAATGTGGTTACCTTATTATGGTAACTTTAATAGAACCCTTTAAACAAGAGCCCAGGTTGGATGCCATGCTGGGCCAGAGCTCTTGCCTGAACAGTCCCAGCCTCTGCGCCTACCGCTGCTACTACAACCCCGAAGAAGACAAATGTGGGCCAGTCGCCTTTTGCACGGAAACCACCGACGGAGAGATGCCCAGTGTTCTCGCCCCGTTTGGTGACCAGCAGAAATGCAAAGCAATTGGTGGCAGTAGCCATGCGGTGGCCGACGCAGCAATCGTGAGTGAAGCCATCCCTGCATTGAAATCCAAGGCTCTGGACGTTGTCGAGAAGCTGGAAGACACGGAAGCAGTCTCCTCTTGGAAGGCCAGCCGGTCGAGCATGCAGAAGACTGCAGAGCTTTGGGAAGAGGCCGTAAATTTGCTCCAGGTTTTCGAGACCCTTCCTGCCAGGACAGACCCTGAAGCGGGGAAGTTCAAAGCAGCACACCGGCGAGCGAGCCAAACTGACATGAAGCACTGGCGACATCGCAAGGATCGCTTAACGACAGAGCAGTACAACGCCGCGGCTGGAAAGTCCGTCGGCGAGCTCCGAGGCTCTACAAGCTTCTCTGTGGCTGCGAAGCTTCACTCCGAGCTTGTGGTTTTCATTCTGAAGCGCCCCAGAATCATTATCGAGACGGCCAAGCTCGAATCCAAAGAGAAATGTTTGCTCATGGCCGAGACAGATGCAGAGAAGAGCCAGTTGACGCTGTTCGTGAAGTACTTCATGAAGGTGCCCGGATACAACCGCGGAGATCTGGATGGCCAAGTTCTGGACATGCCGGCGCACTGCCAAGACTACTTGAACTCACTGGGTCGTCGTTCTATGGCAGAGCTCAGCGACGCACTGAGCGCCGCCGACGAGGCGAAGGACTGGGTTCTTGCTACTAGTAAGTTACCACAACAGGGATCTACAGTGAATATATTACTATGATTTCCTTATTATGGTACAAGAAGAACCCAGAAGGAGCACATGGAGACCTCCGGCGCGGCCTCCTCACTCGAGCTGAGGTCCGAGAGACTGCGCATGGCGGTGAGTCGCGACGAGGGAACCAGCAGTGTACTGCAAACGGACTCCGGGATTGATGACTCTGAGTTGGCAGCACCACTTCTCCTTGCCTTTTGGTATTCCATCCTTGGTCTCATGGCTCTCATGTTGGCCATCACCGTGCGTGTGCATACCGGTGACGACGATGACGCCGGGTTTAACGCTTTCAGCTGCACTATGGCATATGTGCTCGGCGGCTGTACCGTTTTCTCTTCCGTGGCGATGAACACAGATAGTGTAGGGTACTCGATGGCTTTCACTGCTCTCCTTTACGTTACGATGCCCTACCTTTTTCGAAAAAATCAACACCGACAAGGGCCCGTCACGACGACAGCTACGACAGCAGCACGTGGCAATTCCGCCTTGTTGCAGAAGCCCGAAAGCAAGGTATCGAAGCTGCATTTTGCTGCCGCTCAACTATACTTGGCGAGCTGATACCGACAAAGATGGCTTCGAAAAAAAGGCTTCGAGAAATTGGTGAGTCGCAGCCAACTTGCTCTGTCTAACGCATCTGAACTCTCTTCATCTGCTCGCATTGTTAGTGCAAGAAGTCCATGTTGCACTTTTCGTGACCCCAAATCTCGGACCCCTGTGCCTTGAACCTCCACAGCATGAGGCGTGTTGAGCGTGCATTCGTGCAAGTCCATTTCAACCGCAGCCCGCGAACCGAAGCCCTACCCGCATTGCGAGGTGTGCTACGGCTTGCTGCTGGGCTGCACGACTCCCTGCTCCGATGGCGGCTTCGGTGAGAGCACCGGTTCGTGCTTGCCTCAAGACTGTCGTCATCCACTGTCTCTCATTCATGGTTGGTGCTTCATACTGCTTGTACTATAGAGTGATAGTTGCAATTAATGGAACAGTAAGCATGGCCTCCGTAGTACGACAATGATGTCTCATGATTTTAGTTGCACCTTGCGGAAAATGCGAAGCAGCCATCCGGCCCGGCGTGTGGCGTCTGCTCCTTGTTGTGAAGACCACGCGACGGAGGGCCAGGCCGTCGGTCAGTTGGTACCGGTTGATGATATAAATCCTGCATGACCCATAATAAGGAAGGAATATATGGGAATTATGGTATAAGGAAGGAATATACCGCCTTAGCCTCCATGGCTGAGCTTCCAGACTCATTCTAGCCATCCGGCTCGACAACAGCGATGTTGCGTAATGCTCAGAAAAAAAGGACGCCCACGATTCGCCCCGTGCCGGGGCCATGCAGCTTAGAGCTGAGCAAGGTGATGGCAACTTCAGGAAGCAGCTCAGACACTTCTAGCAAATCCTACGGTCGCCTGTATGGTGTGTTGTTAGCATATGAGGCAGGCGGTTATGGGAAGGCCAGCATGATCCCCTGCATATCCATTTCACTTGAACTGGAAATCCTGGTGGGCATGTACATACAAACGACACGTAGAGAATGAAGGATGATATAGGCACTTATGAAAGACTTAGCAGAGTTAGCACTTCAGTCTGAGGCCATCAGTTGGGCTGTCTCCTTTGATCATTGATCCCCAAACCCCAAGCCCTACAACTTAACCTTTCAAGGGCCCAAGCACCACAGATGGGGGATCTCCCCTACTAGGGCGTGGATCCTGGAAGGGCCTAACTTTAAGAGCGCTCAATGGTCTGAGCAGGCGGCAGAAGCACCACAGATGTCCCATCCGAAGCTCATTTCAGCTGGCGCCTGGTTTCCTTCCAAGCACCTCCCTCCCTGTCGCAATGAAGCTCGCGAGCGCCTCCCTCCTCCTCGCCCGCTGCATCATCGGTGTTCCGGGCCTTGTGTTCGAGCCTGGGATGAGCAAGCGGAGCGAAACCTGAAATCCTAAATCCTAAACCCAGAGAAAAGACACTCGCTCTGCTGACTCCACCCCAGTCCTTGAATCAAGCGATTTTCTTCTTGCTTTCACGGTGTAGTGATCCAGAAGCTCATAAGGTGGTCCTTTTATGCCACTGCATGACTGGCTACTGGTATCAAATCTCAGCTACGATGTGAAATTAAGAGTTCGGAATCTGTGGCAATCCTAAACCCTAAGCATCCCTAAACCCTGAACCGGACTAAGGAGCGCGCCGGCGACCTACCCGAATGCCAGGGGTCCGTCACTGGCACTTTGCAGGCCGACTGCGAAGATGTCCCACTCGACAAGTGCACACAGCAACTTGCCATTCATCGTTGGTTTTCGGATTTGGGGTTCAGGTTTTGTTGACGTTTGCTATGTTTGTGTCTTATGTCACGCGTCCGCTGTGAAGGTACTACACTCACATCACAACTGGCACGGCTCGAGTGATGCAATGTGGCGAGAGCGGCGGGAAATGCCTGGCGAGGGGCCCCGAATGTGTTATTCCCAAGGTTGACGATGGCTTCAAGGAAGGAAGCAACTATGTCGTCACGAAGGTAAGCAAGAGGGGATATGAGTACTTCGGCAGTACTGGCGACCAGGGCGGGCCTTGCGTCGGAGCGGATGGCAACCGACCCTTTATGTGCTTTCCCAAGGCAGACAACGGCTTCTGCAAGAATGATCGCTGCTCGGGTGAAACGGAAGGTTGCATGGACTTGTGCGACTCCATTCCCTCGTGCCGTGGGTTCTCTCAGCATTATGGAGGCTGCTATGTTCACATCGATCCAAAGGACAAGGATGCGAAGATCGCAGATGGCACATTTGAGAAATGCCCTTGGGGACGTGCAGAGTCGTGGCCGCCGGTTTGCACGAATAGAGATGACAAGTGGTGTGGGAACACTGAGCCCACCAACAATTGTCTCATCAAAAAATGGACAGCCTCCGCCCCTCCAATTCCGTCCGGCTACACATCCAGCAGCACATATGCTGCCACAAAGACCAGCACAAGCGGAAATCATTACTTCGGCAGTACTGGCGACCAGGGCGGGCCTTGCGTCGGTGCGGATGGCAAGCGACCCATGATGTGCTTTCCCAAGGCAGGCAACGGATTCTGCAAGAATGATCGTTGCTCGGGTGAAACGGAAGGTTGCATGGACTTGTGCGACTCCATTCCCTCGTGCCGTGGCTTCACTCAGCATTATGGAGGCTGCTATGTTCACATCGACCCAAAGGACAAGGACGCGAAGATTGCAGATGGCACGTTTGAGAAATGCCCTTGGGGATCTGCAGCGTCGTGGCCGCCGGTTTGCACAAATAGAGATGACAAGTGGTGCGGCAACACCGAGCCAACCAACAATTGTCTCATCAAGAAAGAGGGTCGCTGATCCCTGTGTCTGTGTCCCAGTGTCCCACGCTAGGGGCTAACACGAGGAACGAGCGAACCTGAGCGAGCAGCCGACAAAAGATCCGTCGTGATGCCTTGTGTGAAGTAATTACCCTCCTCTGATGTTTCCTGGGCTGTTTTGCCAGATTGTTCTGGACCCAGAGCCGTGAACCTTTTGGGCTCTGTATTCTCCTACCATAATGAATAGAATGGTTTCCTTTGTTTGCGCCACAGACCTTAACAACTAGGATGATAGCCGTTGGTCTAAGGACTGAGTACAGCCTGAAACTTCGACAAGCCCATTTGACTGGAGGAAGAAATCACAATGCTCAGTTTAGGGTTTAGGGTTTAGGGGCCTGTCAGTAGTTCAGCCAGACTTGCAATCTTGTATGCCAGGGGGCACAGTTGAACTCACTTCATCAAAGCGACGTTTTCAGCCGAAGGAGCAAGGGCATGTAAAGAAACGAAGTCATGACTCCAAACCCTGAAACCCCGAAGGCCAGGCACAAGCCCTAAGCCCTAAGCACCCCTTGCTTCATTTCTCCCGGACCGAGGGGACCTGAAGAGCTACCGGCATTGTTCCCTTGGGTTTCTTCTAAAAATTGAGCTGTCGTCTAGTATAGCCGTAGCCCAAAACCCAAATCAAATTGTACACCAATCATAAAGGGTCTCTACAAGGTATCGCTTGTCCGAGTATCGTCCAGAGCCTCGAGCATTCAGGCTCTAGTGTTAACGTCTCCTCTCTTCATTCGCCCAAATGTAGTTCCCTGTTTCCACGGGTCAGCAACAACCAGCGAAGAGGAATACTGCTTTCGTGCAAGTTTCTGAATCCCGGAGTTTCGCAAGTGTAGAACTCCGTCGTGTTTCTGTGGATCCACCTCAATCGCACCAGTCGCCCGCAGACTTTAGGCTTTAAGGCATTAGGTCAAGCTTCTTTCCATGTACGATGCCATGAAGTTCATGTGCACGTGCGTGTAGATGCCTCCATGGGTCAGACGCCGGAGCCTTACCTCCACACTCGGACCGATCTGAATGCCGAACCGCATGGGACTCACCACGACGATGAACATGCCGGTCTGTCAACTTGAGTGTTTCCGGAAAAATGGACCCTAAAATAGTATCCTAAATAGTAGGATCCTTATTGTAGCTCCCATCTGACGGTTTCTCCAGTTCTTTGTGGAACGAGGCCCAGCCAGTCCAGTGCAGAGGCCGTGGAGCACTCACAGGCCGCCCTAGCGCTCTGCCGTGATGATGTATGTATGTATGTATATATGTATATATATATATATATTAGTCGTTGTGATGGTTGAGACGATATTGGGGGTGCAGGTCAGGTTTGCTGCTGCTGGTGGTGGTTTTGGTCGTCGTGACCCCGAACCATCTGTGAACATTGCTACAGGCGAATGCCCGCGAGACCAGCCTCCAACCAGGAGGTGCGTTCCTTTGTCTAGCTCGTTCTCTGACTCTCTGTCATGTGTAGAGCGCTGCAGCTGTACAAGTGAGTCAAACCATACCCTGCTGAAGCACGAAGCCTCCCCCTGCAACCTCGCGTCGCGAGGTGTGCAGTCGGGGCTCTACAGCTTTCTACTGGGCTGCACGACTCCCTGCTCCGATGGCGGCTTCGGTGAGAGCACCGGTTCGTGCTTGCCTCAGACCATACTCATCACCGTTATCATCATCATCATCATCCTCACCATCATCATCGTCACCATCACCGTCGCCATCACCATCATCATCGTCATCACCATCCCTTCATCATCAGCATCATCATCATCATGTGTCTGTGTTCATGATTATGTGCCTCTAGTTACCATGCAGTTGTAGGAGAATTGCAAGAGTGTTAATCTCGTACTCCTCCTACTCTCACTCCTACTCCTACGCCTCCTCCTACTGCTACTGCTATTGCTACTGCCGGTTGTAGTCGTAGTAGTAGTAGTAGTAGCAGTAGCAGTAGCAGTAGCAGTAGCAGTAGCAGCAGCAGTAGCAGTAGCAGTAGCAGTAGCAGTAGCACTACTACTACGACTACTACTGCTACTGCTACTGCTACTGCTACTGCTACTACTCCCTAGTTCTGCCACTACGACGACGACGGCTACTACTACGACGAGTTCGACTACCACTACGACTATGGCTACAGCTACGGTTGCAGCGACGGCGGCTGCCACTGCTGCTGCTGCTGCTACTGCTGCTGCGCGACTGCGCTACTGTTACTGCTACTGCTACTGCCACAGCTACTACTACCACTTCTAGTGCTGCTGCTGCTACTGCTACTACTTCTACTACTGCTACTACTACTGCTACTACTACTACTACTGCTGCTACTGCTACCACCGCTCCTGCTCGTGCTCCTGCTGCTGCTGCTGCTACTGATGCTGCTACTGCTGCTGCTCCTGCTGCTGGTACTGCTACCGCCACTGCCACTGCTGCTACCACTTCTACTCTAGTACAAATAGTATTGCTACTACTGCTGCTACTGTTAGTAATGGTACGACTACTACTGCTGCTACTGCGACTACCGCTACTACCACTACTACAGTACTGGTACTGTGGCTCGTGCTGCTGCTACTGCTGGACTGCTAGTACTGCTACTGCTGCTACTACTGCTGCTACTGCTACTGCTACGACGACTACTGCCCCAAGACCTAAACCCTAAGTCCAAGTCTGGGAGGCTTGCAAAGGTGGTGCAGCATTGCTGCATCGCGTCGGAGAGGGAGGCCACTTGAGCATCATCGGGCTTCATAGATCGGGGTTGAGGTGAGTTAACTGTTGAGGGCAGTCAGGGAATTTTGTTTTTGGAGCTGTCCTAAATTCTGAACCCTAAACCCCTAAACCCTAAACCCCTAAACTCCTAAACCCTAAGCCCTTGTTTCTGCATCTTCCATCCTTTTCAGGGCGTGCTGGAGCTCGTGGAGCAGCACCGCGTGATCGGGCCGGGTCCTTCGGTTTCCCGACTGCTTGCCCATTGGCCCCCCTGGCCCTCGACACCCTTCAGTTCAGAGGTACCATACTGTTTTGTTTTTAAGTTTTCACATACCATCTATCATATATCGTATATCGTATATCATATATATATATATATATATATATATATACATCTATATGTATATATATATATATATATATGTATATACATATATATATATATATATATATATATATATTAGTATATATATATATATATATAGTATATGTATGTATATATATATTAGTATATGTATGTATATATATATATATATATACACACATACATATACTAGAGAAAGGCCCTGAGCCCCTGCCCTCGACTGCTCAAGCCTCAGCTCCGAGCGCCTGTAATCCTCTGACCGCAACCGGTCGGAGCCTCAGGGACGCAGTGACCCTGATCGAAGACAACGCGCGGCTCGCAGATCTGCAGGTTTTGTGTTTCGGTTTGCCGGCTGCTTTCCCTCATCGGATGCATCTTGGCAAAGCCCTGTCCGTAGATCCCAACATACCCAAACATCGGACACCGGAGCATAACCCTCAACACTCCGTATCTTTAGAGCAAAGCGTCTTTGGGCTTGGGGTTTGACGGTTTTTAGAGACCTTCGAGGTGGCGGGTCTCTGGGATTGAAACGTAGAAGAGAGAAAGTTGGAGCATATGATCCTGATGCCATTACGGCCCGGAACGGAAAGTTAATCCATGTTCCCAACTTGTGGGACTTCGCTGCTTTTTCAGAGGCTCTATGGTTGGGGGTCGCGGATTTATTGGCTGGAGGTGGGAGGTTGAGCATTTCATTGCGGACGCGATGGGCGACTGCACCCGAGTACTCGCGCACACACTCGAGTACGTACGCTCGAGTCTGCACGAGATTGCTCGAGTACGCTCCAGTACGCTCGAGTATGCTCGAGTACCACTTTCCTGTATAGGCGTTATCGAAACAAAGTCCGTTATAGTCCAGTATAGTAATCACTGCAATAAAACATATAGCTTGTAGGTTTTAGGACCTATGTGGATTATACGATAGTATAAAGTGTACTATATATATACACACAATATAGTTTTTTAATGGGGTAATACACTATCTACATTTTCGAACCTGCGTATACTCGTCAATACCAACGTGTACTCGCGCATATGCTCGGCTCGGGCATACCCGTGCCTAGTCACACATACCCGCGCATACTCCTGCATACCTGCGCATACTCGCGCATACTCGCGCGTACACACGCATACTCGCACGCATACTCGCGCGAGTTACTCGCAGATACTCGGGTATGCTCGCGCATGCTCGCGCACACCCGGCGCTCCCCAATGCCCCGCTTCCCCAGGCGCGCTTTCCAGCAACAGTTTTGCATTTGGCGGATGAGGTTTCTCGAATTAGTGCCTTAGGAGGTGTATGCTCTGGAAGGCCCTGATTACGCTAAATCATCCCTTGCCAGCAGCTATCACACCTTTTTCAGAGCCCTTGTAAACATTCATGAAGACTCTATGAACCATGTAAAGATGCAGTACCCAAGTTCTACAAACCTCTTACACACCCCATATTTCAAGAACCGTAGCCATAAGTCTTTGTGCAAAGGTCTGTAAACCCCCGTATGAACGCCATACAGCTGAACTTTCAGGTCCCCAGAATTGGGTTCATAGGGAAACCATAAATTTTGCTATAGATCCCCATCATGGTACTTTAAAGCCTAAACCCTAAACCCTTACAAGAACCCTTATAGGTCCCTTAAAGGAACCCTCATAGATCTCTATAATGGTACTGTAAACTAAATCCCTGAACAAGAAAAGAAAGAGAACCCTCACCAAAGGCCTGGTCTTCCCCCTTGTCTGCCGAGATCCTCGGAGGTGCTCCGTTTCATTGTTTTTCTGGTAGAGTTAAGGGGCTCTTGGGGTTCTTTTTTGGGGTTCAGGGTTTCGGGGTTTAAGGTTGGGTTTGGGATTTAGAGTTTAGGGTGTGCAGGTTGAGGGTTTAGGATTTAGGGGTTGAGGGTTTGGGTTTAGGGTTTAGCAAGGTGGGGGATGTCATTCGGCTTTTAGGATTTAGAGGGCTCTTCAGGGTTTAGGGTTGTGTGAGGGGACGAGATGAGGATGATGCAAGCTCCCCTGAACCATAAACCCCGAAGTCTGAACCCTATGCCCTGAAGCCCTAAACCCTTGTATCCTAAACTCTGCAAACCCCCCAAAACCCTGAGTCCGGAAACCTTGAAAGCCGAAACCCCTAGACCCTAAACCCTCAAACCCCAAAACCCTACACCCTGAAATCTCAAACCCTAAATCCCTAAACCCTACACCCCTAAACCCTAAACCCTACACCCTGAAACCCTAAACCCTTAAAGCCCTAAGAGCCCTAAACGCCCCCCAGGTTGCCGGCGGAAGCTGCTAAGTCGGCCCCAGAGCGACCGGAGGCGCGGGCAACTCGGGCGCCTGAGTTGCGCGCTTCCTGGGGGTTTAGGGCTCAGGGTTTAGCGCGTTTCTCACGGGTTTCCGTAAGGGAGTTGTTATAGTTTTTTTTTTTTTTTTCCGAAAGTTCGGGGTAGCTTATTTTTGGAGTCCTTACAACAAAGATCCTACTGTTTAGGGTGCAATATTAGGGTCCACTATTTTCGGAAACTCCCAATATGGCAAAGGGAGCTCGGAGGGTTCAGATGGTGACACGGCTTCTTTGTCGGGAAAAGGGACATGGGGTTTGGAGTTTCGGCCTTTTACGGGCCCGTTTCGGGTTGGGGTTCGAGGTGTCGGTTCTGGGTTTAGGGTTTGAGGGGTTTAGGGTTTAGGGTTTTAGGGTTTAGGGTTTAGGGTTCAGGGTTTAGGGTTTGAGGGGTTTAGTGCTTCAGAGTTTCCGGCGCAGGTTCGAGGAGTTCTACAAGCTCGCCCAGCAGATAGGCGAGGGATCCTTTGGCAACGTCTACAAGGCACGGTGGGGTCGAATCTCCGCACCCTGACCCTGAATTTTGCGACTCCTAACCTAACGCCCTGCCCCCCCAATCCCTCGCCCCGCAAGGCCTAAGCCGCTTGACTCCCAGACCTCTACACCCCGAGGCTCCGAAAGGTCTCACCCGAAACCCACCTTTGGCAGGCTTCCTCGAAATCCAAAGGGGAGGCCAAGGTCTGAAGCTGAGAAGTTTAATTGAAGGGCTACTGTATTTGTAATGATTGCTGTGCAGGGAGCTTGCTAAAGGGACACTGTTTCTGTGAGGGTTGTGGGTTCCGTATTTTGTTTTTGCGGTTTCGAACCTGGCTTTGAAGCTGTAGCTTCGTTTGTCCCTGTTTTGTAGAACACCTGGGAGTTTCCGAAAATAGGGGACCTTAATATGAGGACCCCAAATAAGGTACCCCTAATTTTTCCGGAAACTCCCACCTAAACACCCCAAGCTCGAAAAGCTAAACCCTAAACCCTCCCTGCGGGTTCACTTCCAAGGGTGGTTAAAAGTTATAAATACATCGCATTTTACAGCATATGCGAGTTTTGGCTTGTGAATGACGCAAATGTTTTAGATGTTTTCAACCAAGTTATCGTTGTTGATGTTTGGTGATGTTCAGCGGGTTCACGAACATGGGTGCAGACTTCATAAGCAATTGTCAAGTGAAATGACTTGAGTTTCACGCAGACATGTTGTGAACCTTAATCGGTTTTGACTTCTCCCCGGGGCCATGTTGAAAGATGGTGCGATGCTGGCCTTGGCTTTGTGCTGCATAGTGATCCTTCGTCATGGGAACGTATGTCTTCCACCGTGCTTGGGTCGCTGGCGTTTTGAGTCACGCGCGGAGCCAAGTGAAAGAGACGACATGGCGAAATCACACCCCCCCCCACCCGCCACCCCATCCCCACCCCGGAAAACAAGCAGAAACGGCACACGTTGCTACTAAACGCGCATAGCGCGTTTAGTCTTGCGGAGTCCTTTCTATGCTGTGTTGAGAAAGCTTAGGCACGCAATGGCACTACTGCGAACACCTGCAAAAAGCGGCATTTCAAGCACTTTCCGTAGCATGCAGGACAAGTCCCGGCCTCAGTAAGCAGTGTAACCACCAAAAACGCACCATTGCAACTGAACCCGCTAGCTAAACCCTGAACACCGCAAACCCGAAACCCTTGAGCCGCGCCGAGGCCCGGACCGTGGCAGTCAAGGCCGGCCTCTGCCCTGTCCTCATAGGAGGCCAAAGCCAAAAGGGGGTTTAGCCTATGGGGGGTTTAGGGATTAGGGTTCCCCGTACTAGGGTTCGTATTCAGGAATCCCTACCCCAAGAATCCTAAACCCCCCTTTTGGCCTCCTATCATTTCCGAGCTCCAAAGCCCCTGAGCCCGTGAGCCCTAAACCCGAAGCAGAAACCCCTAAACACCAGAGCCCAAAACTCTTCAATCCTTACCCCCGAAGCCTAAACCCTTCTTAAACCCTACATGCTAAACCCTGAACTGCATGCAGCGGAGAAAGGGGTCAGTGCACTTTAAAAAAAACCCCGAACCTGAAGTTGAGTCTCCGACAGGTATTCTCCCTGGCGTCGCCCATTGCTTCCCCGCAGGCCGGGGTTGCCTGAACCCCAGCCCCAGATCCCAAATAAAACTCTCCAAAGAAGCCAGCAAGCAGATCCCGAAACCCTGCTCCCGTAATGGACACGTCAGCGACGGAGCTCACATCGTCGTTGGCACTCCTCTAATCGTTATGTTCACGCTGTTGCTGACGTTGTGCTGATGCCGTCGTGGTTGTTGTTGGCCAGTGCCGTCTTCTTGCGCAGCTGTCGCCACCTGCGACCATGTCCCCGCGTATCACTTCCGGGTGCCCCAAAGCCTAGACCCTCAACCCCAAACCCCAACCCCCCAAAACCCTATTCTGAACCTAGACGGCCCCAAAACTTCCCTGGCACCCGACATCGCTTTGCCAGGCCAAGGTCGAAAGCGAGGAGAGCAAGCGGAAGTTCTCGAGCTTCGTCGGCGAATACGCTCGAACCTCAGCCTTTACCGCACCAGGTATACGACTGAGGGCTCCTGCTTCTTGGGCTCAAGACCTTAAGAAGAAGTTATCGGAAGTTACAATGGTTACTAGGGATGTAAGTACAGTAAATATTTCGGGTTCCGAAGTGTGGTACCAGGAATTACTTAGCAAGAAGCCAGTCGAGGGTCTAGGGTTTCGGGGAACTGGCGCCAAGCAGCTTCTATCCCTTCGGGAGCTCACGCTGGCAGAAAAGATCCCCCATCTTCGGACCGGATTCTGAATGAGAACGATACAGAGAGTCTTCAGAAACTCGTGACATGATCCGATTTTTTTCAGGGGTAGATGGCAGATTCTTGGCTCTTGTCACGGAGCTTGCCTGAGGTTACCTTAAGTGGGATTAAAGAGCCTCTTTCAGTCGTAAACTGAGCTTCTTTCCCTTGTGGGTAAGTGTTCGCCCCAAAGCCGCAAAACCCAATCTCCGAGCTCCGGATCCCTACTCCAAAGCCCCAGGCCCCCGAAGTTTGAAGCCCTAAACCCCCCCAAACCCCACACCCTAAATGTTAAACCTTAAACCCCAACCCAAAGCCTAAACCTGACACCCTACACCCTGACAACCAGACCCTAAACCTTAAGCCCCAAACCCTGAAGCCTAAACCCCCAACTCAAACCCAACCCTGAACCTTACACCCTACACCCTGAACCCTAACCCTAAACCTTAAACAAGAAGCCTGAACCCCAAGCTTTGAAGGCGATGTTGTGCCGCCTGGACCACCCTCAGATCATCAGGCCTTCCTCAGCTGCTTTTGGTGGCGTCCTAGGATTCAGAGTTCGGGGCTTTCGGGCTCAAGGTTCTCTATTCAGGTCCGGGGAAGCTCGTTTCGGGGCGTGCTCGAGACGATTTTTTGGGGTCTCAGGGCTTGCAGGCCAGGCTGGGAGGGAGTTTTTCCAGGCTTCGGCTTTCCGGGGGTTCTGGACCGGAAGCCGCCGTTTCAGTGTGCGGAAGTTTCGACTCCTGATCTCTCCGTGTTCATTATTCCGCCGTTAGAAAAATGTGGGGGCTATGGGTCCTGTCATTATCATCGTCATCCTCCTGGTTGGTGTATTCCGTTCCTCGAACAGCTGCTTGCCACCTTTGCAGTCGTGGTGCCTAGGGCCTAGAGACCCCGCAATTCCTTGATCTCTTATGCTTGTTGCTTATTGTTGTTATGGACTTAACCATTGGTATGGTTGCTGTCCTTATTCTTTGCCTGCACTACAAGTGATGTCTACCTTAGCTTACGGCAAGATCCCGAAGTCAAGAGGCCTTTTCCGGTCGCTGCAGGATGCACGAGAGCTTTCAAACCAATGCCGACTTGCATCTCGTGCTGGAGATGTGCCGCGCCCTAAGAGGGAGGGCGAAGGAGGTGGCCCCCCAAAAATCCAAAATGCTGTAACCCTAAGCCCTACAAAAAGACCCGCAAACCCCAAGATAACCTTAACCCTCACCGTAGAGCCTCAAGGTCGGGGTGGGGAGCTCTACGCCCTCTTGGTGCGGCGCATCAAGGAGGAGAGGGCTGAGCTGGAAGTCTGGGCTTCGTCTTCTTCTTGAGTGGGATCATGGCTCGTGGCATCATCGCTCTCGTTCTCCACTGGCAATGATAGGGGTCGTCGGTGGCAGAAGCATCAAAAAGACCAAAATAAAGGCACACAACTGCAAGCTTGATTCATCGCAGAAGCGGTGTACATGGGTTTTTCTCGTGACTTAGTGTACTGTGCCTGAGGTCCCAGAGCGCAAACGTTTGACATTTTCGACCCCGCAACCCGGCCTCTAAACTCGATCTCCAGCCCTTGAGACTAACCTGCCAGGACAGCAACCATGGAAGCCATGGCCTCTTAGAGGAGGATGTCCGCATCTTCTTGAGGCCCAGGTTCATTGGTCCATGGCAGTTCTCGTCGTCGTCGTGGGCTTCGTGGTCGTAGAGGTGGAAGAAAGATGGAGCTGGGTAATCGGCGACACTCGGTTTTTTTGTGGCTCCCGGGCCCGGGCAGTTTTGACTCAAGTGTTCTTCTCGCAGTCCGCTGCCGCCGCAGAGGCAGATGCTGCTGGCGGTGGCTTACCTTCACAATCGCCGGATCGTGCACCGAGACATCAAGCCGGTAGCCCCAGGAACAGACTCAATGCTGCGACTGGGGTAAGGTTTGGGGTACTCTATTATGCTACAATATGCTATATTATACTATATCATACTAGAATACTAGATTGTACGATATTTTAGGTATTTCCGCATCCCCTCCAATCCTTTTTGTCTGCAGCCCGGCACTCCCCAAAGATCTTGCAAGATGCCTTCGCTCCTGAAACCTGAGCCTTAAGCCCCAAACCACCCTCAAGCTCCAAACGCCAAACCTCCAGCCAACTCCGAACCCAAAAACCCTCGACCCCCGTTTCAACCCCTGACGACACATTTCGGCGGGCAGGAAATCGTAACGTTTCAACATGGGTTGGGCAAATGAACGGGTTGAACCGTCTAAACATGTTACCATCCTCGGCCCTGACCCTCAACCGAGATGACCAAGCCCGAAAACTTAGGCCCCAAACCCTCAACTCCCAAACCCCTAAACCCCGAAACCCCCTAAACCCCTAAACTGCTCTAACCTTGAAGCCCTAAGCCCAAGGCAAACCCTAAAACCCCACGCCCCCCGAACTTCGCCCCGACGCTGAAGGCCCGAGAACTTCCTCGTCTACGGCGCCCCTGGGGAGCCTGAGGCGGCTTGGGCTGCTTTCTTACCTTTGGTTAGTAGGGAATGGAAGAATGGTAGTAATAGGTTCCTTTAAAGGGATCCTTTGAGGGATCTATGGGGTTTAGGGTTTAGGGGTTTAGGGTTTACCTTTGGTTAGTTGGGAAGAGAGCTCCTTTAAAGGGATAGGGTCCCTTTAAAGGGATCTATAGGGGTCTAGGGTTCCTTTACAGGGATCTTTACCTTTGGTTAGTAGGGAATGAAGAATGGGGCCTATAAGGGTTACTATAAGGGATCTATAAGGGTAGTATAATATAGGGGCCTTCATAATCCTATAATCTTACCTTTGGTTAGTAGGGAATGGAAGAATGGTAGTAATAGTAGTTATACTTGTACCCCATTCCTCCATTCCCTACTAACCCAAGGTAAGCTTTTGGGGCGGGGCTGAGGGTTTAAGGTTTGGGGCTCAGGGTTTAAGGGTTCAGGGTTTGAGGGTTGAGGGTTTAGAGTTTAGGGTCCAGGTTTTTAGGGTTTAAGGTTCAGGGTTTAGGGTTCAGGGTTTAAGGGTTCAGAGTTCAGGGTGTAGGGGAGAGGGTGGAAGGCTTAGGGTTCAGCAGTTCATGATTAGGGTTTGGGCTTAGGGTTATGCTGTGTGGCTAGGGGTTTAGGCTTGCTGCTGAGGGTTTTGTGGTGTAGGGTTCAGGATCGAGGAATGGAGTTATGTGAGCGCCTATGCCGAAGTCAGCCATGCATCAACCCTAAGTAACTCTTGCCCCCGATCCTTCAGTGACCCCGCGCTCAAATCCCGCAAACCTGAACCCTCAACCCCGAAACCCTCAATCCGTAATGAATCCTCTGCACCCTGATCACGAAAGCTAGCTCTGTTGAGCTGGCGGGAGTTGCCCTTTAGCAATTTTCACTTGGTCTACCGTGTATTAAGGCACTAGGGCAAAACCAGGGCTTACACCTTATCAGGTGGGACGTCCAAGCATGAAGCATTTGGTGTGGTTTCCCCCCCCCCCCCGCCTCCCCCCCCCACCTTTAAGGTTGCGGCGCGTGGGACAAGGTGGGGCCCCCCCCCCCCCCCCCCCCCGGATTAACCCCCTTTACAACCAGAATCCCTACTTTACAACCAGAATCCCCACTTTACAACCACAGACACTGTTTTCCGTGTGAGAATCCCCACTTTACAACTGCCGATCGTGAGAACGCCCACTTTGCAACCCGTCTACCCATGATTAAGACTTATTGGGATTTCATGAGTTTTTTACAACAAACCTACCTAGATTCCTAATAGTTTGTTGGTTCTTTGACCCCCTAAAGTGTTTTACGTGGCCTTCATGCGACCGTGGCCCCAAACTACTAAGATCTCGAACATCCCTAAAATTGCTTCGTCGCATGGTATCTTTGATCTTTGTCGTCTGTGGGTGCTTCTGTGCGCCTGGCTGGAGGCAAAGCAGTAGTTGAGGGCTGCTCCGGAATATATGCGCCCGAACCCTTGTTTAGAATATGCACCCGAACCCTACGCCTTAAACCCTAAGCCCTAAACCCTGGTAAAGCCACTAGGTTTAGAATATGCACCCGAACCCTACGCCTTAAACCCTAAGCCCTAAACCCTTGTAAAGTTACTTGTAAAGCCACTAGGTTTAGAATATGCACCCGAACCCTACGCCTTAAACCCTAAGCCCTAAACCCTTGTAAAGTTACTTGTAAAGCCACTAGGTTTAGAATATGCACCCGAACCCTACGCCTTAAACCCTAAGCCCTAAACTAAACCCTTGTAAAGTTACTTGTAAAGCCACTAGGTTTAGAATATGCACCCGAACCCTACGCCTTAAACCCTGAGCCCTAAACCCTTGTAAAGCCACTAGGTTTAGAATATGCACCCGAACCCTACGCCTTAAACCCTAAGCCCTAAACCCTTGTAAAGCCACTAGGTTTAGAATATGCACCCGAACCAAATGCATACCTGCGCTCAGGTGAGAAAAGAATCCGTTTCTAAAACTCATGTTTTCTTTCTGCTTTCCCCAATACAAACACACTCGGTCCGAGTTTGCCTGCAGGGAGTGAGTTGGATACAGCTTGACGGCCGCAAGTGCGTAAAGTGCAAACTACTATGCAACAACACGCTCGCTGAGGTGAGCATCTAAACAGTATATCATCGATACCAAACCCTCACGCGTCTAAATAAATAAATAAATAAATAGATAAATAAAGAAATAAATAAATAAATATATATATATATATATATATGTACACACACATATCTATCGTGGTTTCGGGTTAAGAACGCCCACATTGCAACCAACATCACTTTCCAACCTGCATGGCTGCCGTAGGGGATGATGCTAGAGATTCTAGGCTTTGACGTTATCAGTTAATAGGGTTGTTAAGAAGCTTTCCCAACCGGTTGCAAAGTGGGGATTCCGGAAAGGCTCATGGGTTGTAAAGTGGGGGTTCTGGTTGTAAAGTGGGGATTCTGGTTGTAAAGCGGGGTACACCCCCCCCCCCCCCCCCTACCCACAGGTCCCCCCCCCCCCTCCTTCCACAAGGTCCCTGAGTTTGCTTGTGTTTGAAGTTTGTCGTTTGCGCTGCGTCTTGGCTCCAGTTTTTTTTGGTCCTTCGCCGTGTCGTCCAACTGCGAGGCCAGGGGAAGATGTGATGCTTAACTCTTGCCTCTGCTCCACTTCGCAGGCCTATGGCTGTGTACACCTTCCAGTACAAAGGCCAGCGCTTTCAGTTACACCTGCAGCAGCGCAGTGACCTCGCCTGGCTTCTGTGTTTTCTGCTTGGTCGCTCTCCAGCCGTTGCCAGTCAAACCCTATCTCTTGCGGACTTTGGGTATGTCTGGAACGCTCTGAAGCTTCGCCTCCAGCTGCCTTCTGAGGAAACCTGTCTGCTCATACGCGCCACCGTTTGTGGTCGGCCTTTTTCGTGGCGCGTCTTGCCCAGGCATTATTTTGCTGCGGCTTTGCGCGCATACAGTTTCTTTGCTCTGGCTCGTCGCGACGGGCACTCCTGGACTCGCACGGAACTGCAAGCACACATTGCTGCCGTGCAGTCTTCCACCACCTTGACTCTTCATCGCCCGCGCAGCGCTCACCACATCCCTGACTTGGCGTTGTCTGCTATGGCACGACATGGGTCATTGCTGCAGGAGCTTTGTGATCTGCAGCTTCCCACAAGCATTGATTTCGAGCGTCTCTGGCAGCACTTCCTAACCTTTTTGACGCTACCCGGTCCTGTCTGCGGCCTTGCGGTCTCTTATGCTGACGCTGTCGTGTGCACTGTTCCTATACCGGTCCAGGTCTACGTGCATGCTCACGCGCGCGCGCTTGCGCTAGAACGGCTTGCACTGGATGCCGGCGTTCCCGCACCTGCGTTTGCTGCACTTGCCTCTTCGGCAATCTCGGAGTTTCATTTCGGGAACTTGGCCGACGCGCTAATCGCCAGCATTTCTTTCGCGGATCTTCCTCGTCCCTCCGGGGATAATCCTGCGGCTCGCGAGCCTTTCTTCTACCCCTCTTCTACCCCTCGGATGTCATTGCGCCGTTGCATGTCGGCGATCGTTCGTCCGACTTGGCTTCCTCCTGGTGTCCCTTTTGTGCCGCCACCTTCCCCACGAACGTGGAGCGCAACCTCCACATCACCCAGCACTTGAACTGCTCGGTCTCGCAGGCCGCACAGTGCTGCCGCCAGGCTGTCATCGCGGCTGAAGCTGCACGCTGGCCTGCCGCTCGTGGTTTTGATGAGTTGGCCTATGCGTTGCACCGGTCCGCTTGCGCCGACCGCGCACTCCTGGAAGTTTGCCCTCAGCCGTGTGCCGTCTGCGCCCAGATGCATGACAGCGTCTTCGTCCGCGAGCTTGCCTGTGATACTGCCGGGCTTCTGCGGCTACACGGCTTGCTTTCTGCACGGACCTTTCTCGCGCGTGTGACCGGCGCCTATGGTGAGAAACCGCTTGGCTTCCGTGGTCTCACTTGGGATGTCCTTGAGCCTTCTTGCGCCGCTTTGCCTTCGCACCTTGTGAACATCTTGCCGGTTGCCGACCGTGGCGACAAATGGGTCTTGTTTGAAGTGCGCTGCGTCACTTGCACACCCGGTGTCACTGCGGACACGGTCGTGTTGTCCTTGCCTCTCTGCGCAGACTGCCAGGGATGCCTTGTTCGAACGCCGCCGACCATGCCACCACTCGCCTTGGCTAACGGTCAATGGACCGGCGAAGTACCCACTGCGTTGCGGGACCTCACCGAGGCGGAGTTGCTCTTTGTGTCTCGTGGCTTCACCGTCCGTCGTCTAAAGCATTTGCAGCCTTCCGGTGATCCCCTCAGCCGTCAAACAGGGCTTCTCGGCTGCACAGAGACATTAACAACAGTGGCGACTCCGTCTTCATCAGCCTCGGCAACTTCACCGGCGGGCATGTACGCACGTGGCCGAACGATGCGCCCGGAACACCGCTGCAGACCTTAGCGCGACGTCCTGAGCAAGCCGCGCGGATGTGCACGAAGAGGAAGTTCACTATCATCAACGAGCGCTTCTCCCTTGTCTTCTTCCGCTTGCTGCCGCGCTGGTTACGGAAATGCACGCGTTCCGTGCAGATCCGCAGAGCCCTGCACGATCTCAACTTCCCGCTGCCGCCCACGCCTCCTCAGAGATCCGGCCAAACTGGCGGCCTGCGCCTGGCAGGCAATACCAGCAGCGCGTCAACAGTGAATCGAAAAGTCCAGCACATGCGCACATTCTAGCAACGAGAAGGCACCTGGCCGAGCCGCCGAGAGTCGCAGCGCCGCTGGAGCGTCAGCGGAAACCTCTGGCACCGCGCCAAAAGGGCTGCCGGTGCCTGACTGGCAGTTGTTGCCAGGACAGATCTCGGCGTGGATCCTCTGCTGTGCCAGCGAGCTGCTCGAAAAGCCTCCAGAGATTCGCGAACACATGAAGCCCCAGGGATCCCTCCGTTTGCCCGGCAGACATGGTCGGCTATTAGCACCTTCACTACAAGTCAACTTGCACTCCAACCGTAACACAAACTTGTACCCAGCACAAACCTCCAGATCGCAACGCCAACCCCGTGGTTCCCGTTACAGCATGGCGGCAGCACCTTCTAACTGAATGTGGCCTGTTGGCTTCTAATATTACGTGTTAGAGTTACAGACTTCGGGATTGAACATCCAAAGTATCTTTCAGCCAGCTGACACTCCATGAAACTGAACCGAACATACCTTGTCGCCTCGGCCTCGTGTTCGACAGTACTCTCATGTCACATGCGTCCCCCGCCTCACTCAGCCCCAATTGCTCGCAGCTACGCTTCCTCTCCCCTAGCTTTCGTGGCCCTCTTCTCAAGTACCATTATCAATCCCATATAGTAATCAGTAATCAATCCCATACAGTAACCCCCATAGTTACCTCTGCAGTATCTTGAAGGGAACCCCGTTAAACCCCCTTCGTAGTGAGCCCTTGTAGGCCGACGTCCTTAAGCTCTGCGACTTCGGCACTGCCATGGTGCTCACGGATCAGAAGCCCAGGCCATTAGGGTTTAGGGTTTAGGGTTTTAGATTTAGGGAGGGTTTGAAGGATTAGGGTTTAGGGTTGATCAGAAACCCAGGCTAGCTTTGAGAGTCTGAGGGATTTCGTGCGTAGAGTGTTTTATTTGGGAATATTTGGTGTTTGGGGCGGTGCTGAAACCCTAAACCCTTAAACCCTAAATCGTATTCCATTATTACAGACTGTATGAGGCTTATTTCAGTCCACCTTCAGCTACCGGCCAAGAAGTCAGGATGTCAGATATTGAGCAAACTGTACAGCCTGCGACGCAAGACTCGGGGGTTGCTACTGTTCTTGGGGTGTTGTTGGGGTGCCGGGTGCAGAGATCGGCTTTCAGAAATCCGACTTTAGCAAACTTAAGCCTCATGATGAAAAAGGATATCGTTCCACGCCACCCTCGCTTGCGCCACCTCGGTTTCCCGTCTGAAGTCATCATCATTATTACTACTCTCTTCTAGTGTTATGGTTATGACCATTTTTTTATTCTGTTGTTGGTTTGGGTGGTGCTGGTGGTTGTTGTTTTTGGGCATATTGCCGCGGGGGGACGTCCGATGCTGCTGGGACTCTTTCTGCGGTCCTGCCTAAACCCCAAACCCTAAACTCTAAACCCTCAACCCTAAACCCTAAACCGTGGGTGCAGGTCCATGGTGAACATTGGCACCCTTTCCTACACCGCTCCAGAGGCCAGTCTTTTCCTGTAGGCCTTAGGAGAACCTGAGCTTTATGATATGCCCTAAAACTGCAACCTATCCCCAAAACCGTATACTCCGTATACTCTTACGGATGTCATCGAGCGAGTGCTCTTAGTGGAGCATTCTGAGTCTGGTGTAGCGATACATTAGCTTGTATGCAGCATTACTACTCAGAGCTTTAATTGTAATCGCAGCACTGGTGTGAAGCCCTTAACCGTAACCTTAAACCCCAAATCGCTAAACCCTAAACCCAAAGCCCTGAACCCCAAGTAGACACGCCAGACCCCCTAGTTTAAAGTGCCATGCAGCTGAGCCAGGTTCCAAGTATATACCCTTAATATAGCTATTAACTACCCATGAGATAGCCCATTATAGGGTAGGGGTCCCCATTAAGGGTCCCTCCTTTTCCCCTTTGACAGGTGTACATGCGCAAGGGCGCAGACCTTCCAGCCGATGCCTGGCTCGCCTCCAAGATCCCTACTAGACGGGCCTAAAGAACTACCTATACTATTTGGGTTCCCTAAAAGGGTTCTTATAAAGGGTCTAGAGGGTTACAAGAAGGGCTATTCTTATAATTAGGCCTTAACAGGTACCTAAACCATTTTGGGGGTTCCATATCGTAAGTATGGTATATTGAGCCCCAGATTTATTAAAGTCCCGTATAGTACCTTCGCCAAGATGCTTTTGTCGCGTTAGTAACCCGTATAGTATGGTTTATGTAGAATTTGCTGTAATATACCATACCAGTTACTATGCCATACTTTTACCGCACTATACTCTGCCATGCTATACTTGAATTTACTATACGATACCATACCATATTGTACTATACTATGCCCTCATAACTCAGCCGGTCGTCTGTCGTCCCGGTTTCGGCTGTTTGCAGAGCCTATCTCAAAAGACAAGCTACAGGACAAAAGGATAGTCGGGTAGAGGCAGACCACGAGCGATTTACTGGAAGATAAGGGGGAGTTTCCCAAAATTAGGGACACCTGATTTGGGGTCCTTGTAATAAGGATCCTATTATTGAGGGTACCATGTTAGGGTCACCTATTATGGTGACAGAGACAAGACGGGGGCCCTTAGATTGCTGCAGCAGCACGTTTTAGGAGGTTGCGTGATTTCTCTGCCATCTTGCGAAGTCAAACCAGCAAGGTCTCTGGGCGTCGTTCTCTATGTCATGCTGTCCGTGCCTGAGTGCATCGGAGCTTGTATTGGCGCATTCAGTTTCAAGATTGGAGTTGTTATGCGGCTTCGAAGCGGATGGTGACATTCCTTGTTGAAGAGCTTGGGAAGCTCCTCGAAGCCACAAAGCCCAGGCCCTACACCCCAAAGCCCAAGCCCCACAACGAAGACTGTGCCTCAAGCTCTCGCTCCCGCGCCTCAGGACGGGCACGAACCCTTTCAGGGTTGGCAAAGAGACCTCGAAGCAGGCAGGGCCCTCCCAGTTCTTCCCACCCGCCCAAGGGTTTAAGGGTTTAGAGAAAACCAGAAAGAATTTCCTTTCCCTGTAGCCCTAAACTCGAGAGGTTCTAGCCAACCTCTACTGTGCGGATGGAAGAAGTCGCTCAAGAAGAGTCTCCCACTCGTAATCCTGAAGCCGCAAGGACACGGTCAAGAAAATCAAAGCCGGTTCGCCACGGCCTCGGTCGATTCGCTGCCTTCGGTCTCTGGGCGATCGGCTTCGTGCGTTTTTGGTGGGGTCGCCTTGGGGGTGGAAGAGCTTGGGCCTAAAGCCCAAATCCTAAATCCAAGACAACCTACAGCGCATGCACGCGCATGCGATTCGGAGCCTCCTGCCAAACGCCTGCGGCCGAAAACCCTCCGACGCCCCAATGCCTCTGCAGGTTTGCAACGCAGCGACCAGGCTGGCAAAAAGTCTCCGAAAACGGCCTCGGGCTTAGAGTTCAGGGTTGCTTGGAGGATCAGGAGACTTAGTAGCGGTTGTGGTGATTCAGTAAGATAAGATGGGTATATGTGGGCTTGTTAGTGCTGTGGCCTTGAGTTGGCTTGTCCATTGTTTCCCCTCTACGCTTCCTAACGTAAGTCTCCAGAACCCCCAAGCAAGGATACGGATTCGCATTGTTCCTACATTCTGAATGCACAGAATCTGTCGCTAAAGGCCCGCGCATAAGCTCAGCAAGCCTTGGGTTCCGGTTTAGAGTTTCCGGACACCTGCCCCACATCAAAGCAACTTTTCCCGGCAAAGTCTGGGCAGAAGTTGCAGCCTGCAAAGTTTCCAGCTCATGCGCGCAGGGCTCGGGGATGAAGGTTTACTGTGCGTCGTCTTGCAGCTCAGGTGGTTTAAATGAGGTTATTTGGGGCTCCCGGGTTGAGGTTTGGGAGTGCGGGGATTTGTCAGAAGTCAAACTGCCCCCGAACCCAAAACCCTCGAACCGATTTTTGCTATTCAGCTTCAAGGCTGCTCTTAACGCACGTAAGCAGGTCGTGTTTGAGTTGAGCAGGTTGAAGCCGGTGTTTAGCGTAAGACGCAGCCGCAAGAGGATCTCAAGTTCCGGTGTGGGGTTTCGGGGGTCGGGGGTAAGACCCCGGTTTAACGGGTTCAGGGGTCCAGGAAGCCTCCTCAAAGGAAAAGGAAGTTGAAGCCTCTTAACTCTAAACCCTCAACCCTAAGCCTTAAGCCTTGAACCCAAACCCCAAGCCCGAAAGAACCTCAAAACCACACCTTTCCGCCGAGGGCAGGACTTGGTGAGGAAGCTGCTGGTTCTTGGAGAAGACCAGCGTCTGACCTGCGTGCAGGCTCCCCCGGCTTTTGGGGGTTTAGGCGGTTTGGGGTTTCGGTTTTGGGGGTTACAGGGTATCGGGGTAGGGAGCCAGATGCAGAATGGACTCGAATAGACAGAGTTAGAGGGTGTGAGGCACTTCATGGATTTGCTTACGTCTGACGGGGTTCAGGAACCAAGGGCCAGAGAACTCGCGTCGGTCTCTGAAGGTTCAGGGTCGCGACCTGAGGTCTCATGTAGAGGGCTATAGGGTTTTGCAGGGTTTAAGGAAGTATTCGAAATTCCGAATTTCCCCCGACCCTAAGCTGGCCGTCAACACCAAGCCCACAAAGACCGAAGTCCCTAACCCAACGTCTCTACCCCGATTCCGTAGGGCTGTTCTCACCCCTTGGGACAGCTCGGAATTTAGGATCCCTACGATCTTGGCAGCTTCTTCTTAGGTTTAGGGTTTAGGGTTTAGGGTTTAGGGAGCCCAAAAAGGCCAAAACGGGAAACCCTAAACCCTAAACCCTGGCTCCCCCTCGGCTGCCAGGCTTTGAAGCACGAGTGGCTACTTGCAGCCCGGAGGTCCGCAGCTCGGGTGCTTCTTGCGGTGGTCGCAGAGGCCCTGAAGTCCCAAACCCCAGAGCCGCACAAAAACGGTCGAGAGCACCAGAAGCCCCGAAGTCCCTAAACTCTAAGCCCCAAAACCATGGATTCTAAACCCTATAGACCCTTCCCTAAACCCTAAACCCTAAATCGCTTCAAGAGTCGAGGAGCAGGGGCCCAAAGCTTTTTTTGATATTTATTTTTAATTCTTATATTATTATGTAATTATATTTTTTGCATCATTGTTATATTATAGTTGAACCCTGCCCCTGAGCCCCAAACTGTGGAATGTCAGGCGGTCTTCATCGGTTTCAGGGTTCCCTGAACCCGAACCCACACCCGACTCCCCGCGTCCCCAGCCCTCTGCTACAAACCTAAGGATTTGCATTGTGCCAGAGGAGGAGGAGCCGGAGACACTGGCCGGGGTCCTGAGAGGGTTTAGGGGTCTAGGGGGTCTAGGGGGTGCAGGGGGTTTAGGGGGTTTAGGGGGTTTAGGGTTAAGGGTTTTAAGGGTTGGTTTGCAGCTCCCATCTCATTGCACTCTTGTCAATAGTTCTCTATGTCATTTCTGTCATTCCTGTCCCTCCAAAACGTTTGAAGAGCAACCTGACAAAACGTCCGTCCTCCGATCTTCCCGACCGTTTATGACCAACGAGTCTACCTTAAATCGCAGGAAGGATCACCCTTTCCTGCGAGGTCTGTTCCGATCTGTTCCTAAATCCAGGCCCTAAACCTTAAACCCGTCCGCGGAGGGAGAATGTGGGACCTTACAGTCGAGCGAGACCCTCAAGAGCACCGCCGAGAGAATGGACGTTCGACGATACTTGGGAACACATCCTGCAAGCTCGTCGGTCTCAGGGGTTGCCAGCCAGTTTACACGACCAAAGAATGTATGGCCTACTCCTTGGTCACTTGGGTCAGACTGTGCATGAGGCTGTTGGGACTGGGATTGCACCTAACTCGGAGGACTTCGTTGAGCCTACTGCAGAGGGTGATGAAGATGATGCCTTTGTCCTTCCCAATGCAGCTGAAGCTCTATCCCTTGGTGAAGAAGCTGTGGATCCTTCTGAACTACCTGAAGATGCTAACCACGATCCTCTACCCGGTGAGGGAGACCATGAAGTACCTGACTATGGATCGTAGTTTCACTTCTATGTGCCCGAATCAGGGCAGGCAGGCTGGAAAAAGGTCCGACCGTCAACATAGATGAAAAAAAAAACCCTAGACCCTTCAATCCCTAAATCCCTAAACCCTAAATTGAGACGTGTTGGAGTGTCTCTGGATTCTCAGGCTGTGACCGTCGTGCGCCTGCTACGGCAGATGCGGGAACTCCGCGATGCTCAGAGGCTCCCCAAAGGGAAGAACCGCTGCCGGCGGTTATGGCTGCTTTTAGGGCCCTCAGGGGGTTCCTTAAAAGGGCTCTTCCACGGGTGCCTAAGAACAAGAGCTCTATCGGAGTGCTTGAAGGTTTCGGTGCAGGGTTTGAGATTTGGGGCTGTGGCGTTGAGGTCTCCTGGTGGGTTGCGGTTTGGGGCATGGCATGGAACAAGAGATCCAGTAGGGGACAGCAGAAAGTACGAAGCAGGCAGCCGTGGCAAAAGCGTAACTAGTAATGAAGTTCTGAAGAGCACTATCCGATCTGCGGTCCTGCGCAGAACGGTACCGAAGTATCACATCACCATAAAACTCTAGTTGCTGCTTGCTGCAAGTTTGGTTGGAGGTTAGCACGGGTTTAGATTCCGAAGAGGTCTTGGCCACATCCGGTTTCATAGGCCCACTCACCACTTTTTTGCAACCCTAAACCCGACGCAGGGGTTTAGGGTTCAGGGTTGAGGGAGTGCCTGAACCCACCCTGAAACCTGAACCCTGAACCCTAAATCCCAAACCCCAAACCCTGATCCGAATGGGCAGGTATGCACTGCTGGCCTGTGCCGTGGGCGCCACGGAGGCCCGGACATCTCGAAGCCGTCGAAGAAATCCCCACTGGCTTAAGGGTCCCCAAGCCCGGACACCTACTTGCAATGATACCTATGCCCGAAAGTCTCATAAAACCTGAAAGTCTTAAATTCCTAAACCCTGAACCCCGAACTCCCAAATCCTTAAACTTCATCAATCTGCAACAAACACCAAAAACCCTGCAGCCTCAACCCCCCGGCGGCCAAGGCAGATCTTCCACAGCCGTCGGCGTGGCGCGCCTTGTTTCTGGCACTGGACCAGGCGAGGGTTTAGGGTTCGGGGTTTAGGGGTTTAGGGGTTTTTAGGGGTTTAGGGGTTTATAGGGTTCAGCGTGGAGGGTTTAGGGTTTGGGATTGTGAGAGCTCGTCTGGAGCGACACCTTCTAAGCGAAACGGTAGTGGCCATGGGGCCATAAACAGCAGTAGCAATGTTCCGGAGTCCTTGTGTAGCTATCGTAGACACTATAGTCACTCTATCTATATATATATATATATATGTATATTTCTATATCTATATATCTATAAACGTATATATATATATATATATATAGTTATCCAAGTTTATCTAATTCCACATACGTCGGCAACGGTGTATAAATCTGCAAGTAAAGTCAAAGGACAAAACAGAAGACAAAGCCTTTCAGCGTCCCGGGGCCCCGATACACACCGTCTAGAGTCCTTGCTTCACGGGCTGTGCGTCCGATGGCGGGAGCCTGAAGCATTAACCCCGTCGCCAGGATGCAGATGGACTTCTCAGTGCCCCTACCATGCTTTTGGGATCTCCAGGGTTCTTGTTGGTGCTTGAAGCAAACGTGGGACGGAGTTCGGCATGCAGGGTGTTGGATTCTCTCTCTGTGGCTCGCATGCGAAGGTCGAAATTCAGTGAATGCGGCGGAACTGGTGGCCGTGGGGATTGGCGTCCTATTGTCGATGTCGCCGCTATTGCTACAGCTCGTTCCGTTGCTCCTTGTGATGATGTTAATTATGACGATGTGGTGCTACATATCGCATTCTTCAGGATGTGTCATGAATTAGAAGAATGTCCCGGGTCATGGCCATCAGCACGGTGTCAACATCTTGCTCATGAAGTTCAAAGCCTTACACCCCGATCATGACTTTCGCTGCAACCTTGGCCAAGATCGCTTGCGCCAGGTATGGAGGAAGTTACTTCTGGTCCGATCCCCGAACACGGGCCCCGAAACCCTCAGCCCCACTTCTGAGAGCCCTTGTTTGCAGACTCCGCTCATTCCTTTAATTGGCGGGCAGGTTTAAAGGGGTTCCTTGCAGGGGGGTTCTATAAGGACTCCTCCGATTTTCGGCTACCAGGCTTTAGATTTTGTGGTTTAGGAGCTCTCTTAAGCGATCCCCCAAAAAGGGCTCACAAGGGTTCTATAGGGCTTATGGGGGGGTATGGGGGGGTGCAAGTCCCGGCCGAGGCCTCCGAAAACTCGCGGGTGTGCCGCGGGCAGAGGCCTGCGCTTCGGGGCGTTCGCGTTCCTTGGAGGGTTCCTTTCAGGTTCCAACGGTGATTCCCGGGTAACCATGGCAAAAGATCTCTCTCTGGCTCTCTGGCTCTCTGGCTCTCTGGCTCTCTGGCTCTCTGGCTTTCTGGCTCTCTGGCTCTCTCTCTGGCTCTCTGGCTCTCTCTCTGGCTCTCTGGCTCTCTCTCTGGCTCTCTGGCTCTCTCTCTGGCTCTCTGGCTCTCTCTCTGGCTCTCTGGCTCTCTCTCTGGCTCTCTGGCTCTCTCTGGCTCTCTCTGGCTCTCTCTGGCTCTCTCTGGCTCTCTCTGGCTCTCTCTGGCTCTCTCTGGCTCTCTCTGGCTCTCTCTGGCTCTCTCTGGCTCTCTCTGGCTCTCTGGCTCTCTCTGGCTCTCTGGCTGGCTCTCTGGCTCTCTCTCTGGCTCTCTGGCTCTCTCTGGCTCTCTCTGGCTCTCTCTGGCTCTCTCTGGCTCTCTCTGGCTCTCTCTGGCTCTCTCTGGCTCTCTCTGGCTCTCTCTGGCTCCCTCTGGCTCTCTCTGGCTCCCTCTGGCTCCCTCTGGCTCCCTCTGGCTCCCTCTGGCTCCCTCTGGCTCCCTCTGGCTCTCTCTGGCTCTCTCTGGCTCTCTCTGGCTCTCTCTGGCTCTCTGTGGCTCTCTGTGGCTCTCTGTGGCTCTCTGTGGCTCTCTGTGGCTCTCTGTGGCTCTCTGTGGCTCTCTGTGGCTCTCTGTGGCTCTCTGTGGCTCTCTGTCTGGCTCTCTGTCTGGCTCTCTATCTGGCTCTCTGTCTGGCTCTCTCTCTGGCTCTCTCTCTGGCTCTCTATCTGGCTCTCTATCTGGCTCTCTATCTGGCTCTCTATCTGGCTCTCTATCTGGCTCTCTATCTGGCTCTCTATCTGGCTCTCTATCTGGCTCTCTATCTGGCTCTCTATCTGGCTCTCTCTCTGGCTCTCTCTCTGGCTCTCTCTCTGGCTCTCTCTCTGGCTCTCTCTCTGGCTCTCTCTCTGGCTCTCTCTCTGGCTCTCTCTCTGGCTCTCTCTCTGGCTCTCTCTGGCTCTCTCTGGCTCTCTCTGGCTCTCTCTGGCTCTCTCTGGCTCTCTCTGGCTCTCTCTGGCTCTCTCTGGCTCTCTCTGGCTCTCTCTGGCTCTCTCTGGCTCTCTCTGGCTCTCTCTGGCTCTCTCTGGCTCTCTCTGGCTCTCTCTCTCTCTCTGGCTCTCTCTGCTCTCTCTGCTCTCAACGTTTCGGATCCAGCCCCGTGGGATTCTGCAAAAGGGGCTCAGCTTTTTGATGCACGTTTGCCTTGGACTGCAGTGGATAAGATCACAGAATCAGAGAGCATAGCGGTCCCGCGCGGGGATTTTGGGATTCGGTGGGTAAAGGTTTTGGGTGGTTGTAGGAGTCAGTGTTTGTGGTGTAGGATGTAGGCTCCGAAACCCCAGAAGCCCGGGTTCATGTGTTTGCTGCCAGTCGTGTGCCAGGTGTCGGACGATGTGCTGAGTGCAGCAGCCAAGGCACCACCGTTGTGAGGTTTCGAAAACTGACTGTAGCGCAATCCCCAGTATCAACCTCCCGGAACTTGCTAGACAAAGCCGGCCAAACACCAAACCACATTGACATCAACAACCTCCGTCAAGCTCGTGCAGCTCAGGGGGACAATGAGACTATGACTCGCATTGGCTTCATGCACGCTGTTTTTGATGGCAATGTCGATGTCGCAATGTTCTGTGAACCCGAACTTTATTTGCTTACGCAGAGATGCACTTCCGAAAGAAATCTTGTTCCTCGCAGTACAGCCCATTTTCGATAGCGGAGAGTCTGTAGAATCTGGGAAGGAGGGTTGCGGTGGTGTGAGTCTTCAAGATATTGCCACTGGCTCCTAGCAGCATCCCTGCATTGTGATCAGGCCTTCGGTCCCTTCGGGGGTTTGCAGCCTAAGCCCTATAAGCCCTAAGCCCTAAAAACCCTAAAAACCCTAAAAGCCTAAATCCCTAAACCCTGTAGGCCCTAAGCCGATACTCTACTCCCGCCAGGCTGCCGACATGGATGGAAGTGGGGCCATTGACTGGGCCTGGGTCTCAGAGTCCATGGGACCCGAAGACTTCGAAGCTCTCCTGCCAGTTTAGGGTATTTAGGGTTTGGAGTTTAGGGTTTAGGGTTTAGGGTTTGGGGTATTTAGGGTTTAGAGTTTAGGGTTTAGAGTTTAGGGTTTAGGGTTTAGAGTTTAGGGTTTAGGGTTTAGGGTGCCCCCCGGCATGGAAGATCAGTTTGTAGAGTGTATTGATGTGGGACTGTGGATCGGATAGCCGCCCATGCAAGGAGTCGCAGGCCTTCTGAACCCTAAGCGCCTACCCTACCTGAAATCCCTGAAGGGTTTAGGCCCTTCGCCTTTGGAGAACATCCCTACGCTCCGCGCCTGTCCGTGATTTGAGGGAAAACCCGCCCAATCCCGAAGCCGAAAAACACAAAAAAAAAAATCCAAACCCCTGAACCCCTAAACCCCAAACCCTGACCTTACCTTAACACCAAACCTACCTTTTTAGGGACTTACATAAAGAAATCATAATAGGGGGGCCCCAAAAAGGTAGGTTCCTTAGGCTCCAGGTATACTTTCAACCAGCCCGAAGTCGAAATTTGATTTCCGCCTGCAGCTGCCAGGCCGAGTGGCTGGCTGTCGGTCTGCTCAGCGCCAAACCTTCCGAGGAGAGACGGGAGTCTGGGTGGGGTTTAAGGTTTAGGGTTTAGGGTTTAGGGTTTAGGGAGTTCTCGCAGTCCCTCTTTGGGAGTTTCCGAAAATAGGGGTCCCTGAGTTGCGGGTCCTTATAATAAGGATCCTACTATTTAGGGTGCTATACTAGGGTCCCCTATTTTGGGAAACTCCAATTTGGGTCCCCCCAAACAGTACGACACCCCTTTCAGGGACCTGGAAGGGACCCTATTTCCGAGAACTACCAGTATGAGAGTCCTGGTTGGGTTCTGTCAGCTTTTGCTCCTAGGGCTGGGGCCTTTAGCGAGTGTTGTGGGGTTCCTAAACCCCAAACCAACCTAAAATCCTTAGAGGGCCCTGAACCTGAACCCCCTCCTTGCAGGCGGATCTGCTGGTGGAGGTGGCGCACAGGCTTCTAAGCAGGCCATTCGCTGTGGTGCTTCGCCGAGTTTCGAGGTTTGTTTTCAGGCTCAGGGTTGGGTAGAGCTCTCTATCTTGATGTGGGTTCGTTTAGAGTTTAGGGTCAGGGGAATGCCTGGATCTGGGAGCTACGCACGCGCCGAAAGCCTTCAATCCCAAACTCTAAATCCTCTGTCCCTCAACCCACCCTAAACCCTAAACCCCTAAACCGTACGACTCTACTGCCTGCTCACACTGCTAACTGTAGAGGTATCAATTATACCGGCCAGGTAGGGGGGAAAAGTGGGTTAGGTGGTGAATCCCCCTCCAAGTGTCAGAGAAGGCCGTAGCCCCCTCATCCCAGCTGGACGTCTTGCGGACACCAAAAGACACGAGGGTTCAACAAAAACCCGAAACCCCTAAACGCTAAACCATAATCCGCAACCCACACCCCTAAACTCGACGCCCGCAGGCTGAGTGCATCTTGCAACCCAAAGCTCCGGAGCCAAACGCCAAGCGCAGATGCAGTGTACTGGCTTACCAGATGATGCGAGCCAATGCAACAGCTAGACTGAAGTAGACGAAACCGGACTCTAGTATGATCATTGTACTGTGCCAGATTGTAATATTGTAACGAAGAGTACCATACTGTGCTGCAAAATGCGAAGCTCGAAGCCCCAGCTTCTGCGACCCTGCAGTTAGGGTAAAGACACAAGCTGCGGCAGGCTCTGGAGTGACGGCAGCCAGAACGAGGCCTTTCCCGGGGCCCTGGAGCTGTAAGGAACTATAAGCACGGCGTGTTGATTCAGGCTTCAGGATGAGGGTCCGCTAATGTTGAAGGGTTGAGGTTTAGGGTACCTCAACCCACAGCTGTTATCGTATTCCGACTGCTGCGGGAACGAAAAGAGCCCACGAAGAAGACAAAAATGCACAGCCACCCTAAACCCTAAAGCCCTAAAGCCCTAAACCCTAAACCCTAAACCGCCGATGAGACCCGCGTTCAGAAGCCACCAGGTGGTGCTCGCGATCTGGAAGTTTGCCCGGGAGCTAGGCCCACATACAGACAAGGAGGGGCCTGCGCTTTTGGTTTTGGAGTTTGGGGTTCAGGGTTTAGGGGTTTGGGGTTTAGTTTAGGGTTTGGGGTTTATGCATGCATCCATTGCGGACTGTCCCGAAGCAACCACTTGAGGACTGACTACGTACAACACTGCGCCTTCAGTGTGCCTGACGGTGGGCACGCTTATGCGCATAAAAGATCTCATGAGGGGACCGGAAAGGGATCTGTGCCGCAACCGGTTCCTGTACAACTGTATAGCCCTCCTTGAGAACCTGCCGGTAGAGTCGGCCAGTGAAGTGCCGAAACAAACTATCACACACCACTCTTGCCGTATGGTACTGAGGCCTCATGCGCAGTGCTGGGACTTTGCATGGGACCCCGACGCATCGCAAAGCAAACTGTGAACTGAGCTTCCATGGGCATTTACATGCAGAAAGAACTGCACGCAGAACGTGAGAAAAAACTAGCACTTGTGAAGTGAGAGGCTGAGCACACAAGGATATCTGAGGGCACTGGACCTGATGCACCCAAGCTGCCTTGACCGACACTTTGTCAAAAGGTGCAGGTCTGGCAGCTTTGTCCCACTTAGCAACATTAACTGGGGCTAACCAACCCGTTTCGGCAGTGAAAGCAAAATACATTTCCATCACCGAAAAACCTTGCTCATCTGGAACCCATCGATGCCGCGAGCACCAGTCGAATAACAGTTGCGCGAAAGGCGGGCACAACAAGAACACATCCCAGTTTGGGACATTATCTTTACCAGGAAAAACAACCCCTGCGTCAGCAGAAAGCATGCCGACTCTGTCTTGAAAGGTATTTTGCGAGGGGGGGCTTACATGTGGGTTTAAACTTACAGACTTACGGGTGTGGTGCTTAGTGTTGAAAACTTCCGCAACGCTTCTGTGCAGAGAATACACTTGCGCCTGTGCAGCGCGCGTGCCTTTTACAGCTTGCACAGCTTGACGGTGACAGTCATTGACACGCTTGTCACTTCGAGAAAACACCGCTTTGGCATACTCATCTGCAACGCCGTTGTGGAACCAAAGCCACGCGTGCTGCTCATCAGGCGCTGAGCGCCAATCCTGATGACTTTTGACTTTCACGATCCGCCAAGTGCCACTGCAAGTTTTAAGTGCTTGGGAAATTTCGAACCATATATCAAGGTTGCTGTGTTTCCACAACTTCCTGATATCCCAACCATGCTGCAAAAGCAAATTAAAACCTGCAACAGCAACTTCCGAATCGGAGTAAATAACCCCGCCATCCCCCAAAAGTACGGCTGCAAGGACTGCAAAAGTCTCGGCTCTGTTGTTCGTGTGATGTTCACCTGGCACATAATCATGCAGCATTTTGGCTTGGCTCAGCACCCCAGGTTCTGCAAGCACAACAGCCCAGGCAGACAGACTGAGGACTGGATCTGTCGGATGCAGAGTGGAACCATCTGTGAACAAGTGGACGTCTTCGCCTTCAAAAAACTTTGTGACAGTCTCGCAGGTACGGGTGCGCATCAAACTCTTAAACTGAAGCAACTCCGGTGGTTCTTGAAACAAACCCCATTGCAACTCAAAAGTGCTCAGAGTCGCAGGGAGCGTCAGCGATTCTCTGCAACTCAACGTAGCTGGGCAGTGCACAAGCATATGTTCAACTGTAAGCTCAGCTTTACAAAAAGGGCATAACAAATCTTCTGGTGCTGCAAAATGCTTCCGTCGCGATGCCGGCACTATGGCGCCACATGCGTAGTTTGCAACTTGAGCATCGTAACCGTGCCCAGTTTGAAGCAACTGCCGAACTAAACGAACCGAAAAACTTTGGAGACCCTCCAACCCTTGGTAACTTTGCACAACTTGTACAACTTCGCACTGCCAAGCCTCCAACCAGTGTTCATAAACAATATCCCAACTAGACAGAAGGATGCTAAGCTTAACTTGACCTGGCACTTCGACCCAACCATCCGGAAGGGGGATCCATCCTAAACTACGAATGTCCTTGAAGAAATACGTCAGAGGCCCTCCGCACTTGGACACACGGCTGTGTAGCAAGACATTCCAGGCACTACGAACGACAGGGTGCAGGGCCCACATGCGCTTAAGCGTGGTCCAGCGCCGCCTAAAGACATGAATCCATGGCTCATAGATTTCACTTGCACCAAGCAAAGGCGCAAGGAAATGATTTCTTTGGTTTGCAGATCCCCAAACAGCTTTGTTGCATTTGCCTCGGAAGGTACCTGAAGCAGAAACGGACACCGAGCTCAGCTCCGACCCATACAAGGCTGACGGAAAAACAAACCGCGTCAAGCAGGCAACTTTCTTGGCGATACTCCAAGGCAGCACTTGAAGGCGCTCCAACTTAACTAAATTCTTATCCACTCGGCCCTGAAAGCCTTTCGCAGACGATGCTTTGCGGGTGCAAAACTGAACTCCTAAATCACCAAAATCATTAGCGACAGGAATAAAAACACCCTCAATAGAAAATCGGCGCAAAATGCCACGGAATTCCTTAGAAGTAGCATAAGCTATTGACTTGTCGGGCGACAGAGACATCCCTAAGTTTTTGGTGACGGAAGAGACGGTGCTGGTGGCCGCACAAGCAAGTTGAGGATCAGAAGCTTGTATACGCCAGTTATCAACGTATGATCGCAATGGTAAACCGTGGCAAGCTTGCACCTGACCGGACACTGCCCACGTGATGATTATCATGGACAAGACAGCGAGCGGGCATCCTTCAGGTACACCGGTCAAGCTAGTGCGTGGAGGAAACAGCTGACCACCAATGCGAAAGTGACGTCTTACACCGCTCAGGAAGTTTCCATAAGCGCTGACAACGGATGCGGGCCAACCAAGTCTTGATGCCAAGACACAAACTACTTCCCTGGAGATCGTATTATAAGCTTTGCTTAAGTCTAAAGAAAACCCTGCCACATGCTCGCCGGTGTGGAGTGCAAGTTCTAACTCATTCTGAAGAACCCATGCAAGGTCCATGGCAGACTTGCCTGGTACTGACCCGTACAGTTCTTCAGGAAACACAGGGCTGAGATGGGAATAAATTTTCGCAGCGATGCAGCGTGCCCATACACGATACAAAGTCGCTAGTACAGTGATAGGTCTGCCATCTTTGGCACTGGTCGGGTGAGGAATCTTAGCAAGCAGTGCTACTGTAGCATCAAGCAACTTCTCAGGCCACTTACCTACGCGAGTTACAGTGTTGAATAAAGACAATAACATCTGCTGCAACACTTCTGGCATGGCTTTCAACTCTGGCATCGAAAAACCATCCAAACCCCTTGCTGTTCCCGTTTTGGACGTTCGCAAAGCCCACTGAAGCTCCGAAAGGGTGATTTCTGCATCAAAAGCTGGCATGACCGGCAAATGTTGAGCTAAAGTTTGGATAAAATCCATGTCAATTTCCTTTCTATTTAACCAAAACCCATCCCAGTATTTTGCAACAGAAGCAAAAACAGCCTCAGGCTCAGCGCACCAAGAATGCTGTTGTGCGGACTTACAATACATGGACTGACACATGGGCCGGTCCAAAGTTACGACACGTTTGTTAAAAGACACAACACCACACTTAACAGAACCAAAAGACCAAACTGTCCCTGGTATCGGCTCACTCCCGTGAACTAGTGTGAACTTGGCAGGTGAGCCTTTGCAAACTCGCCTTGGAGACACGTGAACGGTTTGAGAAGTTGTTATGCTGTGTAGTGGCGGCAGCTGCTCATCTTTAATGGCCCTGGCATGACAACGACCACCTGAAGACCAATCAACCTTCATGGCCTCCACTATGTGATGGGACTTTTGTTTCTTCACTACAGTATCCCACCATTCAGCTTCAGAACGTAGGGCAGCCCCTACCTGACACAACCACACCTTATCTGGAATACCCAAAGGCACAAAGTCAACAATGTCATTGTTAAGAACCCATTCCCTAAACCCACCCGGGAAACCAGGAGCTTTACAGATCTTGCGCCACAAAATGTGACAACCTGCGCAAGGCTGGACAGGACTCTTCGCACGAGCGTGCGCCAACTCTAAAACCCATCGGACAACACGCAGACGCTTACCAACCAAAACCCTATCTGTGGCGAAAGAGCCATCAACTAAGGCACGGATGCGACCTGTGTGTGCTGGCACCAAACGTCCGTTTGCGCGACCTTTGCAATCTAATGGCAAGCACTGGCTAGAGAATTCTTGGAAAGCTGTTTCTGCAACCTCCTCAAAAGCACTGGTGAAAGAACGCAAGGCAGCATCAACATCGTTAGTGACTACAACTTCCTGGAAGTGAGCGGCTAATGTGTTGGAGACGCTTGCGTGTTTAAACTTGTCTAACAACCCTGGGACTGCCTGAAAATCTTTCGGCATTTTCCAAACCATGGTTTGAGGCAACTTCGTGGGAAAATCGAAATGCACAAAAAGTTCTGCATGATCTGTGAAGCCTCGGGGATCAACATAGAAACCTCGGCAATATTGCCACGCATGTGCATTTACCAAGACGTAATCAAGGCGCGAAATGCCTCGATATGTGTTGGCCGGTTCTGCATTTGCAAGCGATGCGAAGTGTGCACCGGCATCAACAAAACCTTTTGCGCGAAGCAGTGGCCATGCCGTAAGTGAGTCAATGTCAATGTTGAAATCACCGCAAACGATAGTAGGCAAATGAAAGCTGCAAGCTTGCTGCGCGATAGCATCGAACAACATGTCGGAACGAGCAGCTGCATTCGGTAATGACGAATGAAACCCATAGACGCCTATGATACGTATCTGGAGGGTACCCAGCGCGACTATGCAGTCACAAACCCTACCAGAGGCCCAAACTATGGGATCCCAGGAACCTTGCAAAGTACTCTGCTTCTGGCCGGGGGTATAGCACAACACACCGGATGCTTCTCCCCTACCAACTTGCACCAAATCATTGTGGACACGGAAAGATGCGGGTGCTGAAAAACTACAAAAAGCCTTGGACTGCTTAGCCAAGCTACGGATTTGCCTTTGTGTTGAAGAAGTGGCGGAAGTCTCCGTCCACACTTTACAACATGAAGAATCATTAAGCTCACTGGAATGCTTATGGGCAGACACAATGTTCCGAACTGAAAGGCTCCATGCTGGTCCTGGATTGGTCGCTTCACCAAAGCGGACCCCTAAAGAAAGCAACCATGCCCATCGAGCCACTCGCAGAGTGAGCAGGAAACGTGGCCAATTGGAGTAACAGCTGGCAAGCTGCTGCTGTACAGTATGAGATACCCATGGACAGACATGCACAAAACTGCTGAGCAGATTTGACGGCGATGCGTTCAAACGGACATGCAACTCGCAGACGGTGGCAAGCTGCAAACTACCATAACTCATAACATGATTTTCGTCACGATTGGAGCGGCGTCGGGTAATTATGTGCAACGAATTATAAAAGGTGATGGCAAAAGCGCAGCAACCCCAAAGCCCCAAAGGAAAACCCCCTAACCATCTAGCACAAAAGCTGTCATTCGCCAGAGAGCTAAACATCCACAGAGCTTGAGGCAGCTGGCGCGAAACCCATCAGGAATGCTTCGGGACCTTATTGGGGTCATTAACAGGCGAGGGTTCCGGCGAGCGTTTGGCTAGCCATCCCCGCAGTTCACTACTTTGCTTCGCCAGCGCTTCGGCAAGAACAGCTGAGAGATCAGCTTTCGAGCACGTGTTGGCAGCGAGCTCTTGGATATTCTTTTCAATGCTCTCTACACGCTGATGTTGCTTTTGGCATTCATCACGCAACTCTGCAACCTGTTCGCGAGCCTCCTCGCGGGTCTGGCTAACATCATTTTGCATCTGTGCGACTGCTTGCGTCATTTGATGGCTCACCTGGTTGATCTTATCTTCGAGCTGCTGGCGCAAAGCATCTACTTGGGATTGGTGTGGGCCTACAGCTTGCCTGACCAAAGGTGGGGCAGGATTCGCTGCAACAGCTGATTGTGTTGGCCTCGGACGGGCGGCATGATTGCGTAACTGGACTTCCAAAGCTCTTCTCACTGGCGTAGGCGCCGACACTACTGCATTCTCCGGTTTGGCTTTTGGTCGCTGCAAATCCTCACGAATGAGTACAAGGGTATTGCCGACATGGACAACATCCTTCGGTGGACTGTCGTTTGATCCAACGACCCATGTTAAAGCATTGACCTGACGGAGTGGGACGGCCTCCCACGCAAATGACATCAGGATCTGCTGCAAAGCCTCACGGTCTACATCCTGCGGCAATGGGGCCAAAGTGAATTTACGACCTATGGGAATGTCATACCGAAGATTCTTATTCTCCTGCCATGTCGGCTCGATCACTTTACGCACTGCAACATACTCCTTAACCTTCACACGCCATCCAAGGCAATCGCGACCTTTGACGACCCCAAAGATGGCACTGTTCGTGCGGGCAACAATGAGGGCCTTCGAAAGATCATCTGAATCTCCCCAAATCACCTTAAACTCTGTGGAAGGACCAGAAGCGTCCTTGGATTTGGGCGTCAAGAAAACGCCACCGGCACCTGACGATTGCAGCAACCTTGAAAGTTCACTTGAGAGCACTTTCACAAATCCATGAAACGATGTTGCATCCTTCGCGGTGCTAACAACCTTACCGTTAAAGTACTTACGGCTCCATGATCCAAGCGCTGCCTCTTGCAAACCTGCGATGCTTTGCCATGCATACCGCATGGCATTCTGCTGCACTGCACTCCAGTCATCCACGTGCTTCTTGGAGATTTCGATGGTGATCACTTGCGTGTCTTTGGATGGCATGGTGAGGACATCGTCATCCGTCTGAACGGTGATTGCCTTATCACCCAGATTCAACAGGAAACCTTTGATCAGAATCTTGCCCGCCTGAGCGTGATTGGCAACGAAGGTCAATGCAACACAAGGCCAATTTCCAGCTTTTGGAGGCGTCGTTCCCATAACGACAACGCCACACTCATCTGCTGAAATGGACTTTCCCAGTGAGCACAGCATTTCTGCTTCTTCAATGGGTAGCAAGCATATGCCAGAACAACCATTGGAGACATGTTGCAAAAGCTTGGGGTGCGTGCCGTCCTCACAACAAAAGAACTCCGGGATGAGATCGATCAAGGGCTCCGTCTCACTCGGATGCGATTGTCCACTTGACGATGCCGCTGCGGAAGGGGTTCGCCTGCCTTCGTTCCACGGGTCCATGATAGCCCATGGGTCCGGAGTGTCCGAAACCCCACTACCCTGTTTACTAAGCTTCGCCTTGTGATTACGCAGCTCCTCAGCAGTAACCAAACGCATGCGCTGATGAACTGCCGACTTTAACTGTTGCCAGGGGTCCAAGCTTTGATATACTGCAGAGAGTTGTTCTGGCGTAACCACTTGTTGAACCTGAGCAATTCTTTGATCAAGGGCTTCATCGGGCACACCCTTTGAAGCAAGATGCTTCCGAAGTTTCTGGAGATCATCTGAAGCAGATTTGGATTTGGCACCACCCCTTAGGCGAAGTAGCAACCGTACCAAGATTGCCTCATGTTGCCCCAGGGAGGTTTCTGGATCCATCCATTTGCCGTTGAAGCTGAACCATGCCACATCCAACATACATGAAGGGACCCATTGCTCCAACCAACCACGCACAGTTGTTTCACTTTCTGGAGGCGGACATGAATGAAACTTTCCAGCCACATCGACAAAGCCACAAAGTGCTGTAGCAGCTGATGCCAAACCACTATCACCACGACTTGCCCGGACTTCTGCTGTATGCAAACCAGGCGCCGGCATGGCCCGCACCAAAGTACGCCACCCAAGAATGCAGCAGATGCCAATGCTACACCGAAGACTGGGAGCAATAAACTCCCAGCATCCATCGCGAAAGAGAGGAGCAGATGTTCCACACATTGCATAGACCTGCCCTTCAACAAGCTCTTCGGAAACGCCATGTACCGCAAGGGGCACATCCAGAACATGTGGATGACGATTTTTGCAGCGCATTCCCAACTGAACCGGAAAGTCAGGCTCCACTACATAACCGAACGCGGATGCTTCACACATGCGCTCCACCTTGAAGTATACTGCTGAAGATGCTTTCCACCAAGAGCCAGGTATCCATGGTCTGAGTTTACTCGTAGCTTCTGTCCACACGGCACGGGCACCCATGGCGGCACGGCCACTGCCCTGAACAGAAACCACAACCCACAACCAAAACCACAACAGGCCACAGGAGAGCCCGAAACAAACCCCAGGAAGGAAACACAAACCCAACCCCGAACTACGGACCCACCTTAGCCCGCCAACAGCGGGCGGTACCGGCACTGCCCCGGGGAGGCCTGGGCCAGAGTGCTAGGGTTTGGGGTTTAGGAGTTTAGGTTGAGGGCTTGGGGGTTAGGTCTAAGTCTAGGTCTTAATTACGGGTTACGATTTGGTCAAGGAGCCCTTAAGCCCCCCACAGTAGCCCTGAGCCTTGACAAATTCCCAAGCCCAAAACAAACCCGAAAACCCATAACGAGCCTCAAGTCCGAGACGAACCTTCAACCTAAACAGCTCCCCTTCAACCGGTTTAGGGGTTTAGGGGGTTTAGGGTTTAGGGCTTTAACCCGCAGGAAGCAGGCAAAGTACCGCTTTCCGTCGATGACCTGCGGCTGGTCCTGGCGAGCTGCCAGGCTCGGATTTTCCGCGTAAATCCTGAGACTCCGGGGGGTCAACTTTGGGGCTTCAAGGGTTGGGGTTTAGGGTTTAGGGTTGGGGTTGGGGGTTGGGGTTTAAGGTCTAGGGTTTAGGGTTCAGGGGGGGTGCAGGGGTCAAGCAAGGCGTCCTTCAAGGGTTTTTACAAAGGTACGTTATCGTTTTTAAAAGGTGTACGTGAAGGGTTTTATAAGGGATCACTGAAGAGTTTTACAAGCTCTTCAGTGATCAGAGGGTTTGCGATTCAAGGAGTTGGGGTAGAGGTTCTTCGAGAGTTTTCCATTATGGTTTGCTGGGAAGTAGCGTTTCTTTTTTGCTGCTGTTGCATCTCAGGGCTTTGTGAGACCCGACCCAGTCGGCCACTTTGGTTGTGGCGTTCCGGGCTGGCAAGCCCGCAGCTTTGTTAATCTCGTACATAGAGGCTCCAGCGATCAGGCCGGTACCTCATGTAGTGTGGAGCCATGTCCAACAGAATGTTGAACCCTGACCTGTATGCTTATAGTGTCGTGCCGATCCAACGGGGTAAGACATTCGCACTCTCACCCTCCTCCAAAGCCACTACAAACATCGGGGGGGCCTTTGAGGCCGAGGGGCGTCAGACACTCCTCATGCCCCGGGGAAGAAGAGAAAGAGACAGAGAGAGAGAGAGAGAGAGAGAGGAAAGAGCGAGCGAGATACAAAAAGGGCGAGGGGAAGGAGAGTTCTCCTTTGACCACATGTATATGTATACCGGCTGTGGTGCGCCATGTGCACCTACACTCGCATACATGTCCTCTCCACACATACTGATGTTTTGTAGTGTTATCATGACTCCATGTTTTTTTCGAAGAGCATACATAGTTTGAGTACTCTCTCTCTCTCTGTCTCCCTCCCTCCCTCCCTCTCCCTCCCTCCCTCTCCCTCTCCCTCTCCCTCTCCCTCTCCCTCTCCCTTCTCTCTCTTCTCTCTCTCTCTCTCTCTCTCTCTCTCTCTCTCTCTCTCTCTCTCTCTCTCTCTCTCTCTCTCTCTCTCTCTCTCTCTCTCTCTCTCTCTCTCTCTCCTTCTATCTCTTAAGCACGTATGCATGTGCATGCGTAAATACGCAGCCGCTGAACTCCGCTTGCTGCTAGATGCCGACGCTCTGCACAGGCACAGCCATAATGATCTGGCATTGGCGGTGAGGCATCCGACGGGAATGTCGTAGTACTCCCGGAGGATGATGTAACTTAATATACCTCAAAAGCCTGTTCTCAAAACCAAGGCCCCCGCAGTATCGCAGAAGTAGCTTAGCATTCCGAGTGTCCTTGCACACGGCTACCGCTTCCCAGGGTTTTAGACCGAGGCCCTTCTTGTCTTACATGTTACCGGGCCTGTAGTGTTTTATAAAACGTTACTGGGCCTGGGCGCGCACTGGGGTCTGGTGGCGTCATGCCATAGGGGTTCCAAAAAAACACTTCAGACAGGACTCTATGAGTCTATAAGGGCCCAACGAAATAGAGAATGGGTTTAAGGCCCTCTATCGCGGCCTCTGTGTAGCCTGTGTATGGGTTTGACCAGGGTTTCAGCGCGGTTGAGGTTCAGGTGCAGGCAGCCCTGAACCCGAAGCTAACACCCAAATTCTAAAACCCTCGACTAGACTGTAGGATCCAGGCTCAACAGCAGGTGTTAAGAAAACCTGGCATGCGACGTCGATCCATGCCATTGCTGCAATCTAAACCCCAAAGGGAAGTCCAGCCAGCTCAGTTACCCATGTAAGAAATTGCTGCAGGACTCGTGCCGTCAAATTTTAGAAGTATGTATGCGTGTGTATGTACATATTTGCATATATTATGTATGTATGTGTATAAGTGTATATGAACCAAAGACAGTGACCTACAATACATGTGCCCGTGCTGATGGGAAGTCGAAGCGCAGAACAGCGCCCGCACGGGGCGTGAAGCTCCATATCGAGGCCGCTCACGTGTTTCACAAGACGGATTTTGAAGCTCGGTGCGCCTGGCATGTTTTGATGATGTCGGGGAAGGGCAGGTTCTTGGGCGCTCCTGTGTTACTGAAGCACAAAGCCCCAAGCCCAAAACCGTAAAGAGCCTGCACCCTGAGCCTCCTAAGCCCTGAACCCGAAAGCCCTAAACCCTAAAGCCCTGAACTCTAAGCCCTAAACCCCCTAAACCCCCAAAACCTCTAAAGCTCTAAACCCCAAAGCCTTCAGAGCTTTGAAGCATCAAACCCCGCAGCCCTTAAGCCCCAAAGGCATCCACCGCTATCCCCCCGAAGGTCGCTGCCACCTGGCGGCTGCCGCTGCCCGACTTAGTCGAGGTCTGCTGAGGAATCCGAGCCCCACAAAGCCCTAAACTTAAAACCTAAAAAGAGGGGTAAAAAAAAACTAGAAGACAATTGGCCCGAAAGCATCATCAGCGAAGAGTGTGGGGCTATGTGATAGATCCAGTGTATAGGATCGTAAAGTCACAGAATCAAGAGTCATAGAGTCCATGAGTCATGAGTCATAAAGTCATAGAGTTGCAGTGACATAGCGTCATAGAGTCGTAGTGAGATAGAGTCAGTGTATAGGATCGTAAAGTCACAGAATCAAGAGTCATAGAGTCCATGGGTCATGAGTCATAAAGTCATAGAGTTGTAGTGAGATAGAGTCACGGAGTCGTGGAGTCATCTTTGTACCATACACTTGACTCGATGTAGTTCACTCTATGCCCTGTGTGTGGGAACGCTTAATCAAGATCCGCCTAGCGTGAGGGCTCAGAGCCTGACTCAACAGGTCAAGTGGCAACTTGTCAGAGGGATTGGCAAATGCATAATATATGGATACTATACATATAAATATATATATATATATATATATATATATATATATATATATATTATATATATGGAAATGTGCCTGGCCAAGAACTGGCCACTCGTCCTCGGCATTCCTGCCTCTCGAGTTATGAAGGGCGGAACGCCTCACATCGTCCTCATTGTACCAGCGGAAACACCAGCTGCAGAAAATGGCGTTATTGCAAGAAGCTTCACTGACTTCACAATAATAGAGCTGCGAACGAGGACAGAGTCACAGGTGACTGACTGGTCTCTGATCAGCCATGGCACATCTTAAAATCTTCCTGAAGACTTGGCTTTTTTTTTACACACACGCACATTCTTCTCGTGGCGGTGTCGTTGCTTGCTTGCTCTTTCGCAAGACAGCGTCGAAGCAAGCAAGCAACGTCCCAAAGACCGGCATCGGAGAGGCGGCCTGAGGAGGTGCCGGGAGAGGTCATCCCAGGGATTACGGTGGTCCGGAGCCTCGTGAAAATGGCTGATTGTAGTTGCAAAGGTTCGTCGGGAGCCCCGAGCCTCCATAGCACGCATTATACCAAGCCAGGGTATAGGGGTATAGTATCATGGAAGAAGAAACATAGCGGCAGCTGACAAACATCCCCAAACGGAAGCCGCAACACTGGTCTCTGAAAGGAGTCGGGAATTAGGGTTTCGCTCTTCATCTCAAACCACAAAAGGCCAGCGTATGTTACTTAGCCGATTCAACAGACTCCAGGGGAACGCCAGGGGCTTATGGGTCCTTAGGCCTAGTAGTAGGACTAATGCAGGGATCATGGTGGTCCAGAGCCTCCTCCAGAAAGATTGATTCTAGCTGCAGACATTCATCGAGAGCCCCAGGCTTCGGTGACACCCTGTGTATCAACCCAAGGTATACTATCTCAGAAGAAGAAACCCGGCGGCATCTGGCAAACATTCCCAAGCGGCAGTCACAACACGGGTCTCTCAAAGGATGATTGGGGATTTAAGATCTATCCTATACCACAAACGGGTCCACCTCGCTGAGCTGCTGCGCGATCCGTGGCGCCGGGATTCCAGCAGCGAAAGGCAGTGCAGTCATTAGGGATTTGGAAAGACACCGTTCCGAAGTGAAACACCTTACTTCACCAGGAAACCCGCCAGATGCCGCAAAGTATTTAACGTGCCACGCAATCGAGGAGCTCCTGCGTCTCGATGAGCCTTTGTCTGCTCACAGGACGTCGCGGCCAGGAGGAGAACACCGAGGCATTGGGAATCACTACGCTTCCGCCGCACCAATGTACCAATGCGAGCACTTGAAGTTGCCGTTGACGGTTCGCCCATCATAGTTCTCGCTCGGCAGCCTTCGATTGTCAATCGGCCTGAGACGCCCACGGTACCTCACAACTTCATGGTGCACTCCTGCTCCGTTGACGGATCCATGTGCTTCATAAATGCACGCTTCGTGCAATGCGTTGTCTCTTTAGCACACAAACACACAGACACACATACACACATACAACTGGTTCGTGGGAGTTCGCAAGATCAAGTGAGACCACAGAAGCCTTCGATTTGACTTCGATCTATGCAGAACAACAGACCTTACACTGCATCACGAAGCATTTCGGAGTCGGGTTGGGGGTGGAGAGCCAGCGCGGGAGGAACCTGGACCTAGACCGGATTACTCTCCCCAGGCGACCCTCCCCGGCCTTCGTCGTCAGCATCGGAGAGGTGGCCTGGTGAGGTGCTGGGAGAGGTCATACACGAGTTACGGCGGTCCGGAGCCTTGTGAAAATGGCTGGTTGTAGTTGCAAAGGTTCATCGGGAGCCCCGAGCCTCCATAGCACGCACTGTACCAACCCAGGGTATAGTATCATGGAAGAAGAAACATAGCGGCAGCTGACAAACATCCCCAAACGGAAGTCGCAACACTGGTCTCTGAAAGGAGTCGGGAATTAGGGTTTCGCTCTTCATCTCAAACCACAACAGGCCAGCGTATGTTACTTAGCCGATTCAACAGACTCCAGGGGAACGCCAGGGGCTCATGGGTCCTTAGGCCTAGTAGTAGGACTAATGCAGGGATCATGGTGGTCCAGAGCCTCCTCCAGAAAGATTGATTCTAGCTGCAGACATTCATCGAGAGCCCCAGGCTTCGGTGACACCCTGTGTATCAACCCAAGGTATACTATCTCAGAAGAAGAAACCCGGCGGCATCTGGCAAACATTCCCAAGCGGCAGTCACAACACGGGTCTCTCAAAGGATGATTGGGGATTTAAGATCTATCCTATACCACAAACGGGTCCACCTCGCTGAGCTGCTGCGCGATCCGTGGCGCCGGGATTCCAGCAGCGAAAGGCAGTGCAGTCATTAGGGATTTGGTAAAAAAAAAACACCGTTCCGAAGTGAAACACCCTACTTCACTAGGAAACCCGCCAGATGCCGCAAAGTATTTAACGCGCCAAGCAATCGAGGAGCTCCCGCGTCTCGACGGTGGCCAATCCCTGTGGAGACTTGCAGACGGTGCCACCCCTTGTGCTAGCGGCGCTCCACAGGAACCATCATCCGCGCCATCGCGGCTGTCATCATGCTGATACCACCAGAGCAGGTCCAAGCCTCCAAGCGGCCACATTCTGTGGCGAGGCAGCCAAGATGACTGCAGGGCAGAACGTCAAGAGCCAGCTTCTCGTTTGGCCAGCACGACGGACTCGCGGGTTGGACAAGCCGCGCATTTGGAGTAGTGCTGCCTAGGCGAACACAACGGACTCGCAGGTTGCTTGCACAGGCCGCAGGCACCGTCCCGCCAAGACAAGCCGCGCATTTGGAGTGGTGCTGGCTAAGCTCGTCTGAAGGGTTGCAAAGTGTGCCATCTCAATGGCGACTTCTCAAGAGGAAGAACGGATCATTCAAGAATCCAAACAGTAGCAGTGGGCAACGAAGCTAAACCGGGACACCGGGTTGAGCAGAACCCCGAAGACCTTTCGGCCACACAACGGAAATTCTGAACTTGAACCAACCAAGCCCAGCAGTCCGCAGTGGGAAACTCAGGAAATGAAGAGGTTTCTGTTAGACCGACCTTCCCAGCCTCGACGAATCCAAAGCGACCGGGCAGTGCAGGCAACCTCAGGAGCAGGGTTGCCCCGCCCAAGCAGCCGCACTTTCGCAAGACAGCGTCATTCTGCCACGAGCAGAAGAAACAACAAACAAGCGATTTTCTTCTCGTGGCGGCGTCGTTGTTGCTTGCTTGCTCTTTCGCAAGACAGCGTCGAAGCAAGCAAGCAACGGTGGAAGCTAGCCAGAGCAAAGAATTCACAGCCCGCACGGCTCACCGTGGAGTCAAGGGCCGCGCCACCCAGTCGCCCCAGCTCACGAC